CAAGCTGCTCCAGCTGGCGGGCTACGCCATTTACCCCCAGCGCTGCGTGCTCTCGGACTTTGACGCGTTCTTGCTCGCCAACCTCGTGGGCACACTCAAGCGTCATCCTCAGCGACCCGCAGCAACGCCACTCGTACTACTCCAACCAATGGTCGTTTTAGCGTCTGCTTGTCGTAATGGGAAACATCCTCAATTTTGCTTCGACCAAGGCCAAAGTGGCTGCGATGTCAGAGGCACACGACGACGTTGATCTCCAATCGTGCCCGACTCTGTCATGACCGCGCGTGACACCGCAGTCATTGCTGCCACGTCATTTCACTTGTTGGTGCTCGTTTATTGATCGTCGATTGGCACGATGGTTGAAATGACGTGGCGGACTCGTCCGCCAGGATGCGTACCTGCATACTGCACGACGACATGCAACAACACCGCCGCAGAGTCTATTCATTTTGCATCGTTTTGCGTATAGAGCCACGTCGCAGAGTGATTCAGACGTTCGTGTTGCATGGCTTTACACGTCATGCTACGTGGCCTGCGCATCGTCCGTGCCGTTGTTGACGTCCGTCGACGCTTGGTTGCCGTCGTCCGTGTCGGTGACGAAGCGGTAGTCGACGACGACCATGGCCATCTTGCGAAAGTGGGTAATGTAGCTGACCGTGCCCGAGACGCGGAACGTGAAGCGTTCAATGTCAAAGTTCTGCGGCACCTTGATGACCACATACTGCGTGCGCCCGACGAGCCGCTCGCAGAGGTCGGCGAGCGGCGTCTCGCCAAGGTGCAGGTCGACCGTCGACCGCGTCCGGTACTCGGGGCCGCCCCACGGCGGGTCGATGAAGACGACGTCTTGAAGGAACTGCTGCGCAACGTCGACGTAGTTGGCGCAGTAGCACTGGATGTTGACAAAGGTGAGCACGCCGTGCATGTTGTGGACAAGCATGCGAAAGCGCGTCGGATCAATTTCGACGGCTTGTACGTAGCGGAAGAATGTGCAGAACGACGCCGTGTTGCCGCCGACGCACGCGGTCGCGTCTGTGATGACGCTGTTGGGCGTCAAGCCCGGCAGTGTCATGATGAAGTGCGAGATGCGCGCGGCGGTCTTCATGTCCGTCACGCTGTACTGGGCCACGTCGTCGAGTTGCAGCTGGCTGCGCACGGCGACGGGTAGACCACTAAAGAGAAAATCGCGCTTGTCCACGGGGTCCGACGACGACTTGGCAGCCTTCTTGCTCGGTGGCTTGGCCACAGTTTCAATTACGGGTTGCTGCTCGTTGTCGTCCGTGCTGTGGCTGTGGTTGTTGTTGCTGATGTTGTCGCCAGCGATAGTGCTGGCGCCAAAGCTGCCCATGAGCGATTGCATGAGCATCATTTCATTGGCGTTGAGGGCGCGCGCGACGGGAGGCGCGTCGTCTGTAGTGGGCTTCGCCTTGGGCGGACGCTTCTTGCCCGGCTTCGTGGATGAGGTTGAAGTCGAGGCAGTCGAGGACGCTGTCGACGTCGACGACGAGGGCGATACCTTGAGCGATGCCAAGTCGTTTGCGAGGCCGGCGTCGGCTTGGTTGTCTCGGTCGGCGGCGGGTTTGCGGCGCGGCCGGCCGGCTCGGGGCTTGCGCTCGTGTGTCATGGGCGTGGTTTCGCAGGCTATTTTCAGCGCGTCGGTGGCAGTGACGACAAAGGCCATGCTGCGAGGTGCTGTGGTTGCGGTAGGTAGAGTGGATATGTTCCGACGCCGGCGGCCTCCGTCGCACGAGGACGAGGACGAGGTCGAGGACGTGGCTGGCAGCGGCCAAGTTGGAGACTTGCGCCGATTGGCCCGGGCCGGCGTCCAAAGAACGTGTCCTTCAAGCCAGGTATAATTAGTGTCCTATGCCGATACGATAAAAAGCATGCAATTCATGAAGGTTAAACGTCGTTTTTATTTCAATGCGACGCAGGGTCCTTGAAAGCCATGCCTAAAACCAGGAAAACCTACATTCTGGCATATGGGTCACCTCAACACGCCAGTTCGGGCGCGCCCGAAGATCGCTACAACGCGTGACATCATCCTCATCAAGACAAGTCGTCTCGACTGGCCTCTCATGCTACATTGCCAGCGGTCCGTCCTCTCTGCGCGGACGCTGCGTTGTTGCACATACGTACTTCCTTGATGGCATTCTCGCCTCGAGGTATCAGTGCAGTGCGCTCCATGAAGTGCTGCCCGCATCCTTATGACAAGGCTCGATACCAGACTAGTGGTAGGAGTAGGCTGGTACACGGCAGTCGAAGCACCTCGTGTAGCGCCTGCGGTCGAACCGAACTTATCTAACGACCCGCCTGTGAGCGCTCTTGACTTCCTGCATAGTACGTTCGACCCCGAAGCCATTCTCTTGACCCTTCACGTAGAGTGCATGGAGACCACAAGGGAGAAGCAAAGCGTGGTCGAGTCGAATGGTTGCACCCGACGTCTTTGTTGGCGCTCGCTGGGTAGCGCCTCGGCCTTGTCCCATGTGCTGGCCAAGAATACGTTCTTATTGACTCGCAGTGCTGGTGTCGCTCGACTTGTGCCCATGGAACGATTCCGTTCATAGACGACTTGCTCGGTCCTCCCTCTATACCCGGGCGCGACGGTGTCACGCGGAGAGCTCAGAGGTCGTCGTTCGTCCCGGAGGCAAGATCGTCCGACTACATTACCATCTGGCGAAGCGGTTTCTGTGATCTGGTCCAATCGACGGTTTGTATCCGGAGACGCGATGGTGGTCGTGCACGCCAAGGCGACGGGCAACGTGCAGCAGGTCATGTTCCGCCAGACGATCATCCGCGCTATGACCAAGCGGGGCATCAACGGCGGCGCGACGAACCTCAAGACGCCGGCACGCGACACGGTCGAGATGACACTGGACGGCGACGCCGCCACCATCCAAACCTTTCTCGACGCCTTGAGAACGACGCAGCCGCTCAATAGCTGGGGCGCCCGCGTCGATGCGCTCGTCGTGCTATCGACTGGCCGCGCTGTGCGTGATCACCAGGTACTACGTGGACGGTTCTGCAGCGTCTTTCCACAACGTTCGCTTAGGTCACGACAACCAACGTCGACGACCGCAGCTGGAACCCGAATGTTGAATTTTACATTTGAATAAACTACGAGAGGCCATTGCCAGCGCAGCAAGACACGAGTCGAGCAGCAGCAAGAGCGCGGTTAGGAACAAGTCGTTCGAGGTCAACCTCCAAGGCGAGGTTCCGTCATAGGTCGACACGGTCTTCGAGGAGCGCATCCGCGGCCTCTGCGGCGACGACACGGAGCAGGTATGCTAGGCGACGGCATGGTCATGTAGGAGCAATTCTCGTTCAAGGAATATGTTTACAACTTTGACGCGCAAAGCCCGCAAGGTGCGGTCGATTGCATGGAGCTGGCGCATGACCCCGTGGCTACGAGAGCACCTCGACGGATGCGCGAATGCGCATCGTGAACGCTGTGCAGAATGCGTCGTCGTCCTTACTTTGGAGGCGGCGCACGCTGGCCTAGCCCACGAGTTACATGTTTCTTGTGGCTAGCTACACGACCAGTACTGTACTCGTCGCAGAGAGACTGAGTTGGACCAGCCAGCCACAAATGCTGTGGCGACAATCCTTCCGCAATGACAGGGCGCCACGTCAGGGAATATTAACGCGGCACAATCTATTCTGGTATGCAAATACTTTATATTGGGGCAATTAACGCCTTCCGAATCTTTTCAAATGCCATTGACGTTTGGAACCGGCAACGCCACGAGCGGCAGCCAGCACGACTAGAGCGATGCAGCCGCGGAGAGTACAAAAGCGCGCCGCCTCGTACGCCTTTGTCAGGACGCAGCGTCGCAGGTCACGCTTCTCCAGCGTGCGATACAAACATCAAGTACACGTAGCGCGGCGATGGCTTGAACGCCTTTACAGCCCTCGGCGGTGAGCTGCTGCATGTCGGCGCACTTGGCTGCGAGGGTGGCAGTGGCATCGGCCAGCGCCTTCTCGCGGTCGGCCGAGAGGCGGCGCGCGACGCTCGCTGACGTCTCATGCGCTGTCACAAGATCCGATTGCAGAGCAGAGACTTCTTGCTCGTGCTGCGCGGCCTGCACCTTGAGTGTCTTCTCGTGCTCGGCGCCGAGAGCTCGGAGCTCGTCTTGGTGGTCGGCCTGCGTGGTCGTCCATTGCTCCTGCAGCTGCATCTCGAGCTCCGAGATGGCGCGGCGCGAGTGATCTCGGTGCCGTAGAAAACGAAATCGCATGTCCCTCTACGACCCGCTCTACTACCAGAAGCGCGCTGCAAAGCTCGCCGATACCAAGTTGGCGGCCCAAGATGCCCTCATGCGTAAGCCAAGCCCGACGGCGGCCACAAACCAAGGTTCGCGTGCCACCGCATTCGGGCGCAGAGCAGTGTGTGACCCCGACGATTGTCCGCCAGCGTGCGACCGACAACTGTCCCGGTGACTGCGCGATCGATCGCGCAGTCAACCGTACGACCGACGATTCGGTCGCCCGCCACGACGGCAAGGCAACCACTGACGGCGAGCAGCTGCAGCTCAACCACCGCCGCGCAGCGTCGCACACCGGTGACGAGCGTTGCGCCTGCTGTATGCAGCCGCAGGAGCAACAGACGACCACGCAGGCCAGCCACCAAGACGAGCTCCGAGCTCTCGGCGCCGAGCACGAGAAGGCGCTCAAGGTGCAGGCCGCGCAGCACGAACAAGAAGTCCCTGCTCTGCAATCCGATCTTGTGACAGCGCATGAGACGTCAGCGAACGTCGCACGTCGCATCTCGGCCGACCACGAGAAGGCGCTGGCCGATGCCACTGCCACCCTCGCAGCCAAGGGCGCTGAGTTCCGAGCCAAGTACGAAGACGCAGTGCGCGGCCGCCGTGTGGTCTGCCCTGCGTGCGGCGACGTCGATGAAGTGAGCCAGTGGACCGTCTTCCCTGGGCCGCTTATGGAGGACACGGACTTTGACAGCGACATTGAGGTGGGTCTCGGTGAGCCACCGGCACCACCAGACCTGGTCGCTGCCGCAGAGCTCGAGTCAGAACGCAAGGCTTACGAGGCGCTCGAAGCGCAAGCCGACGACGCAGCAGCCCGCGCTGCATCGAACGAGTTGCGCCTCGAGAACAAGATTTTGAAGCTCATGTCGACCACCAACGATCTCTCAGCCAGCGTCAACGCGCTCCCGTCGGACAAGTCGGCGCTCGCAGAGGCCAAGACGAAGCTCCAGGAGGAGACGGCAAACCTCGCATTGCGCGTAGCCGCCTTGGAAGCGTCGCTGCAGACACAGGCCAAGAGCGACATGAAGGTGCTCGAGAGGCGGGCATTCACGGCCGAAGCCGCCCAAGAGGCCAACGCGACGGTGGTCCGTGAGCTGGAAACCACCATCGAAGGGCTCTCGACAAGCGCACTCTTCCGACGCACCCAAGAGCTCTCGAAAGAAATCCGGGACTTGAGGCTCAGTTGCACGGCCTTGGGCACGAAGCAGAGTAGCTCTTAAGTCTTCTTGAATACTACGATGTGATTTTCATTCAAGCTGTCTCTATAGTCTTCGATGTATGGCTTCGCAAGGTTCTGCATCGACTTGCATTGAGCCCTTGGTAACTATTGCTCAAGGCCTCTAAAACGTCGATAGAAGGAGGTCGATCCTGTCGTCAGAGGTCTCATGACACTTGGGGTCCAGCGCTGTTACCAAGGCCATAAACATCCCTTGCTACTCCCAAGTACGTGGTACAAAGGCAGCCGCCATCGTCGTGGTTCGCGTGTGGATTTCGTGGACAATAGATGAAATATGATCTTACAACACGGACCAGCGTCGGTGGTTAGGGTCGTCGCCCGAAGCGTCCGACTCATCGTCGTCGGCCACCGACGTGCGCTCGACGCGGAGATCGCAAACTCTGAACTGTCCTTAAAGCCCACGTCCCGAATCTCGACAACGCCGGCCTCGGTGCCGCCTTCGACGCGGTGCGCGGGGAGCCACTGCACGGTCTCCAAGTGCCCGTTCGCGGCTGCCGAGTCCATCGCGGGACAGAGCACCCTTTATTTCGGTGCGTGTGCAGATAGCGCACGACATTCAGGTGACCGTTCCCGGCGGCAGCGTCCATGGCGCCCACGGAGCAGCCAACCGTCCGATGCTCGTCAAGGAAGCGGACAGTATGCAAGTGGCCGTTCGCTGTCGATCGCGCGAAGACTTGGGCTGAGCGACGTGTGCGTGTGCAGGTGCGAGAGCACCTCGAGATGGCCATGTGTCGCGGCAGCATCTATGGCCTGATACGAGCCCGGTGAGGAGGATCGTGAGCAGCCCCACGTGGCCGATCATGGCCGCGTAGTCGACCGTCGCCGACGTGCCTTTCGTCCGCGCAAGCAGCCACTCGACGAGCTCCATGTGAGCATACCGTGTCGCGCAGTCCACGGCCCGCGGCAAAGATGCGTCGGGTGGCATCGCAGCCATCGCTGCACGGCGCGTAAGTTGCCTTAAAAGAGCGCTAAATGTAGCGCGAGCGCATCGAGGCGCGCGGGCTCCAAGCAAGGGTCGTCGGAGCTCAGCGTGCGCGTCCGGTACCGTTCGGGCAGGATGAGAGCTGCGTCGCGTTGGCTAGCCACGTACAAGTGCGTCGTCATAGGTTGAGCAGCACCGCCCGGCAGAGTGAGCGTCGACCGTCTGCCGCGGCTCTTGCGCTGGCGAAATGCCACCTCGGCTGTGATTGGCCGAAAAGCAGCGAATCAGCGTCGTAGGAAGAAAATCGGATCTTCTTTGAAATGCAACCTGGCGCGAGATCTCGGGAGTGGTAGCCGTGATGACGACGGGAAGAAGGCCCGCAACGACGACGCCCGCGTAGACAGCCGCGCCGAGACATGCTGCGCGCAGGTGCCGCACCAGTGCACCCATTCCGGCTACCGTACCACGGGAAAATGACGCCATCTCTTCTTCCCAATGTACTCTTGGCCATCAAGGTCATGGTTCCGAGTCCTGCGAAAGGCAGGCGAGATGCGCTTCGAACCTCGCAGTGTTGAGAAGAAGAATAGACACTATTGTGCATTCTATCATTCTGCACGACTAGGAAACGGGTTGTACAACGTACTCTAGGTTGTGCTCGTTGCTTTTCAACGCTGTCGTTGGTCGCAGTGCTGTCACACCGCGAGGTCAACGCGGATGATGCCTCGTAGTCATGGCACGTCGGGCTCTCTCGTGTGACTCTAAAGCAGAGTCCACATTCGGGTCCTCCTAGCGTCACGGTCGAATGCCATCGTCGTTGATGCGTCAAAGCCCCGAGGTAGGTCGGCAGGACCTACCTAGCCAAGCGGTTATCCCCTTCTTCTTCTTCTTCTTGCCCCGGTCTGCACAAACGAGCAGGAAACAAGCATCGATGCCAACGAGTCTGACGGGCCTTGACAGCTTCGATAGCCGGCAGATGCATCGTCTTCTACGTAGGTGTCTTTCACCCGAACACGCTCGGCGACGTCGCGCTCTGCGACCGCTGCGACTGCGGCCCGCTGAGCGAGATCGTTGCCTGCCAGCGCTGGCGCCTGGGCCACGTCTTGTGCATGAAGGAAGACGTTTATGCCAACATTGCCACCGCCGCCCGAGGCACCCCGTTTTTAGGCCGCGCCAAGATCATATTGCCGATCGTCCTGCACCGCGATCTCCAGTCGCGGACGCCGCCTTAGTCGCTGGTATCTCTGGATGACCTTGACAAACTGCGTAGCCATCGACGGCAAAGCCTGGGAGGCCTTTACGCAGCGTGTCGTCATAAGCCTTATCCGCGGCCACAGTCGCCATCGGGCAACTACAGAAGAGCAAGACGAGCCCCCGTGCCGCCGCCTGCGCAGCCACGGCCCGGCGAGCGAACGTAGAAGACGGAGATTGCTAGTCTCTACGCATGCGAGCTCTTTAGTACAACGAAACATGTTCATATGTAAAAATATGTCGTACTACGCGTTTGTGGATCGACGCAACGTCGCAGTTCGTTGCCACCACTCACCTCTGTCCCTAAACGGAAAACCATGACCTCGTTCCGACTCTTTACGGGGCCTCGACGCCGTATCGAGTACGTCCATCGTCGAGGAGACAAAGTGACCCCACAGGTCGCGGCTTATGCAGTGACGACGCAGGTGTCGCCATGCGTTGGCCCTACCGCGTGTTAAGAACGCCGCACGAACGACGTTTACTATTCAGCCGACGTTGCTGGCTCGTCTGCTATTGGCTCTTGAGCCCGCCGTCAAATCAGCAAAGCCGCAGCAGCCAACGCTGACGACGAACGGTAATGTAGTGCATGCAAGGACCTGGACACGAAAACCGTGTCGGGCTCGCACCTGTCGTCGAATCAATCACACCCACCCAGCACTGTGATTCGTGCAGGTGCCCATATAAATATCGCTACGCATGGATTCCACGCAATGCCAGACTTGGTGCAAGTGCCAACAATTCTACGGTACCGGTAACGTCAGTACGTACAGCATATGGGTTCAAGTCTGTGTCCATGTTGAAGGTGCTAGTATCTTTTGATTCCCACCAATGGGATCTTCGAATCGTGTAGACACGGATTTGATTGGTTATATCAATATTTACGAATGGCCCGCATGCGAATGGGCAAAAACAAGCGGCCGAGATGATGGGAGGCAAACGAACCTTCAAGTTTTGTTGCCGACCACCTTGTAAAGTAAGCGAGAGAGTGGTCGAGCAACCCCACGGGCTCACCGTTCAAAACGCTTGAATGAAAGGATGCACGCACCCACAAATCGCATTCTATAAACCTGTCGGGCCAAGTACACTGTTAACAAACCGTGCAGGCATATCCCACGCACGATAACGTTATGCATGATGGTGCTCCGAGAAAAAAACATGTGTACCATCCAATTCCTGAGCGGGAGGCACTGTTGATGCTTGGGACAGGACTGGAAAAAATCATATTCCTGTTGAATACAGCCACCGCCGGGATGCGATTGCAATTTGGCATCCCATTTCTGTCAAGCGCACTACGTTGCGAGATCCAGCTACTGCTCCTATTGTTTGGAATTGACACAAACCACCACCGACGCAGTCGCGCTAATGCAACACGGTGCCCGATGCGCGACGAATCCAGTAGTAAAGTAGGTGCAGCGCAAAGGGTCGGGTCCAGGAGGCACCACGCGCAAGCCATTGGAAGAAATTCAATTGGAGAATCAATCGTATTTGGTTGGGTTGTGCATCAGACCTGGCTCTATGTACCCCCAACGCCCACAAAAGAACACCTTCCTCAAGACCATCACCTCCTACAGTACCCGCTACTAGGACGGCGCCTTCAGTGTCTTCAAACACCCCAAGCGCGCACGAAATATTCGAGGCACGACCTCATTTACAGCCCCCTGAAAACGATGCTCTCATTGATCGCCCCTTCCACTGAGCTCTTCCACGCGACGCCACGACAACATGGCAGTAAACAAACAGCAGCCCCTGTGCGGAAAGATATAGAACCGCATGGTGGCAAGTAGCTTGTGCGCCACAATGGCCTGGATCTATCGTTCAAAAAAGTCCATGCTACCGAGCGTGGGGTGGCGACGATTGAGCCCGTTGGCTACAGTAGTGCATCCTTTTGGTCGTCGTCGTTGTCGTCGTCGTCGTACGTCTCCAGTAGGGCAGACGGGTCGAGCGCGCGCTGGTGCACGGCACAGAAGCCCATGTCGACGGGAAGACCGAGTGTCGAGCGCACATAAAGTCGATTACAACCGTCGACTTTGCACACCTTGTTGCGCCGGTGGGTCGCGCAGAGCCCGCCGCCTCGGTCGGTTTGTCCGCAGTTTCTCACCGAGCAGAGACGCACGATATCGTGTTTCGCGCACTTGCCGCCTCGCTGCACGCCGTTCGAGCACCCAGCGACCGCGCAGAGCTGGACGCCGCCGTGCGTCCGGCAGTAGCCGCCGCGCTGGGCGCTCTTCTCGCAGTCGTCGTTCTTGCAGCGCGCGCCGCCTCCGTGGGCCTTGCAGAGACCGCGCGACTGCGCCGTGCGCACGCAGCCTTCTGTCTTGCAGCATTTGCCGCCGCCATGCGCAATGCAGAACTGAGCGCCTCCTTGACGGCCCTTTGGACAGTAGGCGACGTTGCAGCGCCGAGTGCCACCGTGGGCCTTGCAAAAGCCTCGGTACGTGAGGGCGACCGGGCAGTTTGGCGTGAGGCACCGCCCGTGGATCTCTTTCGGAGGCGACGTCTTGACCGGACGCTTGGCATTGTGCACTCGCTGTGGGGACATTTGGTGTTGCGATGACGTCGTCCCAAATGCAGCAGCAATGTCATTGTCTCGACTAGTTCACATAGGAGGAGACGTGAGCATGCGTTGAAGAGATCAGATCGTGGAGCCTACGAGAGCGCGGATGCCACATCGTCAACAAATGTGCCCAACGCGTCGGACGACATGGCCCAGTCCAAGCTGACGGCGTCCTCGTCGCCGCCGAGGCTGTACTCGGACTCGTCGTCGCTCGGCATACTACAATCGTGGAATGGCGGTCCACATGAACAAAGCATTTATTGTTGAGTATCTCGTCGGCAGGAAACGTGACAAAAAATGGTTGTCGGTTGCGAACATGTGGCAACGGCGCCGCGACAAAAGCCTCCTGTGACGATCAAGGCAGCGACGTGTGAGTCCAGCTTGTGTGTCCTCGTAAACTGTTCTCGTAGCAATCATCTCGCTTGAAATGTACGTGAAGTGTAGGATCTGCTGAGATACTCAGCAGATAGTACACTGCTCCTGCACCGTACTAGTACTCGAGACTGCGCTGCGCGGATTGGTCCCTTGTAGCCAATCCGAGTCCTTGTATATGATTCCGAGCGTGCGATTGGTCAAAAATCCGCTCGAAGCGATCCATGAACAACCCTGTGCGATGAGGCAATCTTTGGCGCCAGTCGATCCTCCTTCCATGTACAAATCAATCTGCACGAGCACCCACGCACCTGTGCGAAAGCTACTTGCAGATTGGTGTAACACAGTTAGTATTCGCGTTCTTACCCTACTACTTAACTCTCGTCGCACGGGAAAACGACCGAGCATCATGTAGAGATGCAACCGACTCGACTTGTTGCCGTCAAGGGTAAGAGCGACCGTGCTGAAACCAGCTTACTGGCTTCTTCAGTGCATGGTGCTGCATACAAGTCTATAGTACAGTGCAGCCATCATCAAGTTGGGTGCCATGATGATACTACTGCTCGTCGCAATTTTGGCACTGCGATGGCTCTGCGTTTACAGACACATGGTCGTTCTTATCAAGTTAGACACGAGGCGCTGGCCGCGCGTCCATGCTAGTACTATGCTGGATCGTCTGAGTGTGGTCGGCGCACAGCTGCGTCGTATTCACGCCCCGCGTGAGCGCCAGCTGCTTGCAGCGCGGGAACGTGCACAGCCGCGGCTTGCGGTGTACGACGCACTCGCCGCCGCCGCGCGCCGTCTTGTTGCAGTCGGCGACATTGCACTTCTGCGTCCCGTTGTGCTTGGCACACTTGCCGTTGCGCTGGACCATGGTCGAGCAGCCGTCGACCGTGCATTGACTGCCGCCGCCGTGTCGTCGACAGAGGCCCTTGCTTTGCGCGCTCTTGTTGCAGTCGAGGATCGTGCAGCGACTGCCGCCGCCGTGTGTCTTGCACAGGCCTTGGCTCTGCGCCGTGCGCGGGCACCCAATCGTCTTGCAGGGCTTGCCGCCGCCGTGCGCGATGCACTTGTTCTTGCCCTGGATCGTCTTGGTGCAGAGCGGCATTATGCACATGCGTCGGTACCCGTGCTCCTTGCAAAGCCCTTTGTAGCTCAAGTACCGACTGCAGCTGGGTTCGAGACACATGCCGAGCTTCTCTTTGGCCGCAAACGACGACGGCGGCCTCTCGTCGTTTCGTCGGCCATCGGGCGGCGGCGCATCTTGGCCACTGCTATTACTGTCCCCACTACAGGCGTCGTCGGGCAGCGCTGGAAAGTAGCACGCGTCGTCGGGACCGGCATACATGGTCGTGTTGTGGACTTGGCTCGGCGGCGGGTACGGTGCCGGAAACGACGGTGCGTACGACGGTGCGTACGGGAGGTAGCCGGGCGGCATGTAGTTGTAGTCGTAGGCGCTGCGCGCGTTGTAGTCGTGGTAGACGCCGGTGTACATGGCGTCGCGTGGCCATTCGAACGCCGGTGCGTACGCGGCGGTCGGTGCGATGGGCCAAAAGGGCGCGTCGTAAGCGGCGTCATTGCGCAGACGTCCATCGTCGTCGTCGTCGATACCTTGCCTCTCGGAATGGATTGGCAGCTACAGCCATTGCAGCTGATGGTCCTGTAGAGATGGCGTCGGCACCAGCTGCCGCAACCCAAGCCGCGAATGAAATTGCCCCCCGACATGCGTTTTGTATCGAATTTATAGAAACGAGTGGGACATCTTCCCAGCGGTAAACGTCGGACAGGGCGACGACTCACTGGAGACGCATTTTTTTAACATGTTGGAGACTCCCTTACGTCCCTCGAGTACACGTCCATGTAAGCTCGGATGTCAACGATAACGACGCGAACAATAAGACGATCTATAAGAAATATAAGGCGCGAGGCGTCGAGTGGCGCAGGAATATTTCGACCCGTCGTGACGCACCGGTCTGACTCGCCGCGGTGCCGGACAGGCCACGTGTCTCTGGACCGACGCGGCCCAATCGTTGAGTCTCCCAACGTGGCTACCGTGTATATACGCCTTGGTTTCTGAGGCACACACGTCGTCGCGAGGTACGCACGGCGGCTGTATGTCGACTGCCTGTCCTCTAGCACGTGGAGTAGGTGCCAACTTACTACGTCCATGCATGCATGATCATTTTACGGCGAATTTTTTATCGGACACACGCACGCAGCGAGGATTGATGGCTTCGTGCAGTTGGGTTCATGGGACGGCGGGCTGGGATACGCGTGCGACGTCACCGCGTCATCACGCATGGTCGTCGTCGGAAGCCAGTCGTCCGGACCCAGCGAAATCACCTTGGAGAGCTGCTGGACGTGGTCGTACGTGGGCTTGTGCACCATGACGTTGCGTGCACTCTCGAGCAAGTCGGGTGCGTTCCATAGCAAAATGCCCACAATCTTGTTGGCGCGGAGGTAGTAGACGAGGCCGCGCTGGTAACTCTCGTCGGCTCCAAACTGTTTCGGTGGCGCGAGCCACACGCCGAGCGTCTGGAGGCGGCTGTCGATTTCGCCAATGCCCTCGATGGTCACGTGGATCCCGGGCATGTGGCTTCGAAACATGGGCTGGTGCCGGTACATTTTCTTGGTCGCATTGACCTGGCGCCGGTTCAATTCCCGTCCCGTCAAAAACAGCACAACACAAAAGTACCATGTTCTGGCCCGCCACAAGACCGCTGTTGACCGCATGGTCGTACCGATCGACGCGGCGCCGGCCGACAAACGAATCGTAGTAGCTCGCGACGCTGCCCGCGACAAAGAGGTCCCGCACCGCCTCCAGCTGCGCGTTGACGACGATGCCTGCAGCCAGTGTTCCGATCATCCAGGATTTTGGAAAGACAGTGGCTTACCGCCGTGCAGCGCATCGATCTCGAGGCCCTCAAAGTGCCCGCACTCGACGTCCGGTTCGATCTGCGTCGACGCGAGCACTGCATAGTCGGTGACGACGTCGGCGGTCGCGGCCCCCATGCACGAGAGATGCACGCCGCCTGTCGCTGTGTCGGGCTTGATGCTTGTCACGAGCGTGTGCGTGTGCACGTCAATGTGGGCGTACGCCTGCAGCCGGCGCGTGATTTCAGCACTCAGATACGCCGGCACGTGACGCGCGCACGGCCCTTGGTCGTCAACAAATAATTGCTGCACCTGCGTCACCATAAAGTGCATGGCCCGGTCGTACAAATGCAGAATACCTGCAAGTGGCTGTTCCGGGGGTCCGTTGCAAGCGCCACCGCCACCTCGGTGCCCAAGAAGCCACCGCCGACGACAGTCACGGACGTGATCGCCATGCGCGTCGAGAGCCGATCGAGCGCCGCAAAGTCAGAGAGCGTCGTCACGGTGTTGACCTTGTCGCGGAGCGCGTACGAGATCTTGGAGCTGTCCAGGACGTACAACGGCCGAGGTCGGCCCGCCGTCGCAATGAGGCACTTGTCGTATGAGATCTAATACATGTAGTTAGTACATTGCGACACATGATGTGTTGCGGATGGGGGTACGACCAGCGCATTGTCGGGCAGCGTGATGCGCTTTCGCTCCACGTCGACTTGCAGGTTGTGCATGCCCAGCACGAGCGAGACGGACGGCGTCGCGTGCTCGTCGTCGAGGCGTGGCGTGATGTACCGGCGCCACTCGTTGTACGAATCCATGAGCGCGTTCCTGAGAGCGGAGTCGACATGTCGTGCGACGCGTCGAGCCGCGGCAAGTGGGTCTCCTCGCTGATCATGAGAATGTCGGCGAGCGGACTCTGCTGCAAAATGGCCTCGATCGCAGCGTGGGCGGCGGTGCACGCGCCGAGAATCACGTACGGGTAGTGCCGCGGGACGGCGCCCTCAGTGGCTTCGGCGGCCTCTACGTCGACGACTGAGCGACGACCTAGAGAGAGTTAGCGCGCATATGTACCAGCTTGCTCGATGACGATGGATGGCGGGCGCTCGTCGTTGCGGCTCCGACCCTCGTGCATGCAGAGACCAGAGGCGAGGCCCGCCCCCAGCGCGACGGCCGCGCGGCGGCCCACGAAGGCTCCTCGCAGCATTATTATTTTGTCGATTGGCTCGTATCCGGACGATGAGCCGGATACCTGAAAGATCGCCGCATCTTGTAAATTGTACCATGACGTGGCACGATAGAATGCGGTTGTTTCGAGCGCTCGACGACGGCAACGCTTATGGTACCTGCATCCGCGCTGCGGATTCGCAGAAGACCTGTTATTAGAGAGTGTCTATTCGATGTACCTTGACGAGAGCTGTCAATGGCGGTGGCCTAGAAGGCTCGAGTATCGCAAGCATCAAGCCTGGGAGGATCCAAGGTAGCGGTAGCGGGCTGGTACGCGCCAGCGCACCCGACATATATTGCTTTCGGCAACGAAAGAGACACCGCGGATCGGGACTGCCTCGTATTTTGCGTACCTCTCGCCCGTCGTGTGTAGGTTCTTGTACTTTATTCCTGTGGAGGCGCTATAGCAGTATGTACATACCCCCAGGTCGCGCGCGATCGCTGGCTAGGCCACTGGTGCAGCCACCCACTGCCGCTCGTCGACACCCGTTTGGTTTTGGACACAAATTCGCACAAGGCAGCAACGTGTAATGAAACATGATTGTGCTCCTGGGCCATACCAGGGACGTGCCGTTCGTTTCGGTACATTGTAGGCGTCGCTGGCCATTGCGATCGTCTAGTTGACCAATGGGAGTTTGCATCATCTGGATAATGCGCTGCTCGCACGTTGCCAGCTCAGGATTTTGAACGAGCCACGGCAGCCACGGACGACACAAGAAATCGCGGTGCCGAATGGTCGACAAGAAGTACCTCGCTCCAACAAGGATAAAGATCCGCGCCGCAAGAAGGCGTACGACGCTGCGAAGAGTCAGGGAAACGTGCTGGCACAGAACACCTACGTACACCGCGCATGCGTCTTTGCGTTCATCCCGATTGCTTTCTCAGTGTCTGCCAAAATGAAGACAAAATAAGGAGAAGGCGATCGCGACGGATGCAAGGACCAGCTCGTTTGAGCATCACGTCTGATTCGACATGAACCATGACTTGGTCTTAGCCTGGAGGTTTCTTGCCCTTGTTGCGGTATTCCTTCAGCTGCATCCGCGCTTACTCGCGGTTCTTCTGCTTGTACGCCTTCGTTCGTGCTGCAACTTTCTCCGCAGTCGTACGAATACAGAGTGTCGACACATGTTGCCCGCATTACTCAATCCGCTCACGGCAAGATACGTTGTGTTTCTGTGGGATGGTACAGCATGTATTCGCTCTACGCCTACCCATGGATTTTCGACGTTCATCTTGTTGGTTTTTACGATAGATACCAAACATACTTCATTGGCACTCGATGTAGGTATCCTCCGACAGCTCGGCGATGTACATGGAGCGGTCTGCGTGCGTGGAATAGACGGCCACCGACGCACTTAGCGCACAGACCGCCAAGAGGGCCACTAGAAAGGTCGAGGTTGCACTTTGACAAACCACGTTGACGCTGGTCGCATTCGCCGTCAGTATCTTCTGCACGAGGTCTGCTTGCGCCGGCGTCGTCACGGCGAGCTGGTTGACAATCGCTGGGAGCGATGTGTTGCGGCAGTACGTGCGACTCCACGCGTGGAGCGTGAAACCATCTACAGCCGTCGCAAGATCCGTTTTCAGGATCCTTGGGTCGTTGTACCTGCGACTGTGAGGACGGCAAACGCTACGGCAAAGACGGCCCAGGCCAGCATCGCCGACACCGTCGATAGCCCGAGGATGATGTACGTAGTCAAGAAGCCGAGACATGTCAGAACAAAGTGGGCGATCGTAAGCCCATCGGGCCATCCACCTTCAATCCGTAAGGCGCCCGTCGAGCCATTGTTGTCGAGCAGCAAAGATATGTCCATGTTGGGGGCGCCTCGTTGGCGGTCAAAGCTGCCATCAAAACAGGTCTGCGTGTCTACGTCCCATAGAAACCCTTGCTCTTGTCGAGACTACCGCGTACGTGGACCGCTGGATCGAGCTACGAGGGGGTAAGGCTAGCAGGTGTTCTTCGTGGCATAAAATAGGTGTACGTACTGGATGCATGCGGCGCCAGAAAAGATCTCGGTGCCTCCGACGATAAGGGCGACGAGCGCCGCCGCCACGAACGTAATCTTGACGGGCGTCAGCCGCGCGTAGCGCTCGTAGACACCAATGTCCCATTGGTTACTCCAGGCGTGCGGCGTCGATACTTCGCATTCGACCCTTCCCATCGTTTGGCAGCGCTGGAGCACGTGCGACGTTTCGGATATAATTGCGTCGAAGCCCGGTGCCTTTCTGCGGTGTCAACGATCTTCACGGGGCGATCCACTCGGTGCAACGTACATGCGCTGCCTCCACGGACGGCACCACTGGCCAGAACTCGTTTTAGTGCCTTCTTTGTGAGCTAGCACCATCGCAACCGAGCGCTTTTGGGTTTGTCGGCCGGGTGTTCAGCGGTAGCACGGTCGTGGAAATGAGCTGGCGTGAAAGCAAGACGCGGAAACGTGCGATTTCGCCGTGTCACTGGCTGCTCGTGGCTAATTCGCCATGTCACTATAGCTGCTTTGGGCGCCAGGCGCGCATCCAAGCATGTAGCTACGACTGCTCCCAGGATTTAGAACGACCAGCGGACGTGTATAACATTGCAGGCGACGACGGCAACTGCCATTTGAAACGGATGAGCGCGCGGCCGAAGCGGGGCTCGGCGCCCATCAAATCGCATGACATTTCGACCAAGCAGCTCATGGACGATGCGCTCGTGGACCACGACGTGAGCGAAGACGGTGCCGACTCGGACGACTCGGACGCCAAGAAGCAGCGCAAGGACGCCCAGCGCATGTACCGCATCAACTCGTACTCGTCGCTCAACAAACTCAACAAAAAACCGGTGACGCCGGCGACACCCGTCGACGGCTCGCGCAAGCCCGTGGCGGTCGCCATGGACGAGCCGTGCAAAAAGTGCCTCGCGAGCAAAGACATGTCGTCGATGCACTACGCCGCGTATGCCGGTCACCTCCCGTGCCTCCAGACGCTCCTCGCCACGGGCAACCCGCCGCCCACGGACAAGCACAAGCGGACGCCGCTCTTCTACGCGTGCGCAGCCAATCAAGCGAGCTGCTGCGCCGAGTTGCTGGTCCAGCGCCCCGAGTGGATTGACGTTCCGGACGCGCAGCTTGACTCGCCCGTGCACGTGTGCTGCTTCTTTGGCTGGGACGCCTGCCTCGAGCAACTCCTCGATGCCGGCGCCAACCCGCACGTGCGCAACGCCAAGGGCTTTCGCCCGTCGCACATCACAAAGACGCCGGCCTGCCTCTCGATCCTCGTCAGCCACGGCGACGACTTGCTCCAAGGCGACAAGCTCGGCCGGACTCCCCTTTTTGTCGCATGCACACGCGATCGCGTCGACTGCGTCGAGTTTCTCTGCTCGTGGGACTACCAAGTGCACTCGTGGATGCTCGAGCAGGAGGACGACCGGAGCGATAGGCCATTGCACGCCGCTGCCTGCAACGGCAGCCTCGGAAGTCTCCAGGTGCGTCTCGACCTTTGCCTCGGGCGGTATTTCAACGCAAGGAATGTGCAGGTGCTGCTCAAATATGGCGCCGACGTCTACGCGAAAAACGTCAAGGGGCTCACGGCACTCGATTTGGCCGTCACCAACCAGCACGAAGTGCGAATCACATCCCTCTGTGCAATTCGAGAAGCGCAATATTGCAACGGTAGGACTGCGCGGCACTCTTGCGCCAGAACATCCACGACACGGTACACTTGGTCTAGATTCGGATTCTCTGCGGATATACTATAGATGGTGGGGTGTAGGAAAACGCTGCGACGTGGTTTGCGCCGTCGCAATCGCGCCACAACGTCGGGCCTGCGCCGACGACCGAGTGGAGCGAGTGCATGGACACGGATACCGGTCATCTCTTCTACTACAACAACAGCACGGGCAAGTGCCAGTGGGAACTTCCGACGGACTTGAGGGGACGGCAGTCGGCCGTGACGACACCTATAATTGCTGCGACGCACTTGGCGACACTGCCTGAAGCAACAGCGGCGACCGACGCGATTACTACTGGCGAGGACACAACGACGACGACGACGGTGACCAACCAAACGACGGCGGGCGTACACGATGATAGTACAGTTGGTTGTATCCACACATATCAAATAGGAGGAAGACGGCGGCGACTATGTGTGGGTCAAGAAGAAGAAAACGCTCATCGCGGTCGTTGCGAGTTCGCAGTCCGAGTGGTGCGTCGTCCAAGACCCGGGTTCCAAAGCCATCTACTACCGCAATACAAAGACGGGCGAGTCGCAGTGGGAAGAGCCCGAAGCCATCCAAAAGCTGCAGCACGATGTGCACGCCCACACCTCGCAGCACGCTGCCGAGCTCTGGAACGACCTCAACAAGGCCCGCGATGCGTTGGCTGCCGTAAAATGCATGACGTATGACATGGTGTTGTGACATATATTGCGTGTAGAAATTGGAGGAAGAGCGGGCGCGGCAAGCGGCTCTGACGCAAACAGCGATCGGGTCGTTCCAAGCCTCGATCCAGCAGCGTCGCGAAGAGATGAAGCAAAAGGAGCTCAAGACGCTTCTTCCGAAATCGTCCTTTGTCAAAGTCAAGCGCAAGCCGCCGTCGCTCAAAGGTGCCATTTTAATTGCTGTTTTTTGGACACTTGACCGTGCATTTTTCACGATATTAAATTGCATTAGGACTCAAAATGAGCATGCACACAATCCAAGACGTACCGAACGAAGACGGTCCTGAAGATATCGTGTCCAAGACCATTGACGACGACCCGATCTTGACGCTCTTTGTCGGGTCCTTTGTACGACCCAACGGCCATCTTGCGACTTGCAGCAATACCAACATGACGCAGCCGCACAAGCGGTCGGCCCGCAGCGTGCAGCTCGAGATGACGGGCGTCCAGCGTATCTACAACTGCGTGTTCTACTACTACCTCTCTCTTACCGACCCCGTCGCGGCGGTGGGCATGACGTACGCGCATCCAGTATATTGTCTGCTCGATACACTGATACTCGAGTGTGCACGTTTAGAAAATCGCAGTTTCGGACGTTTCTAAAGGACGCGCTGCTGTTGCCAAATGCTGCGACAAAAGGCCCACCACCGCCGCTCAAGCTGCACACGTCCGACATGATTTATGCGCAGAGCATCATGGATGACCCGTCCCTCGCAGGTAGATGATGTGGTTGGTTAAGGGCTGTTTCTCGACCCATCTCGACGTGTAGAAGCACCGTCCAAGAAAGATGCCCTGCTCACGCTCCCGGCATTTCAGGCAGCCATGATCAACGTCGCGGACCGCGTTGTCGCGCAGCTCGACGAGAAGGTCGAGGCGACGATCGACGATGCAGGCGAGTGGCTTTGCCTCGAGTACATTCTCCCACTCGTGCGGCGGCTCGCGGGCAAAATGGCCGAAACCGTCAAACGGTACGGTGTCCACCACCTACATGACAATATATGTATTGGAACATCGCGCAGGTTTACAGACATTGAGGCACAAATGACCAGCGCCCAAGGACTTTTGGCGGCCAACCGGTCTCTCTTCCAGCTCTTGCACAAGTTTTACAGCAGCGATTCGCGCTTCAAACTCATGACGTTTGCGAGCCTCGTGGCCTTTACGACCGACTTTGACGTGACGCCGACGCTGTGCTCGGTGCCGAGTCTTTTTCACGTGTGCGAGGCCATCAACTGGATGTCGGGCAACGCGTACACGGTCGTGCTATCGTATGACAAGTTTGTGCAAATCTGCCGCACGCTCGCGGTAAGCAGTGCGACTAGACTCTCGACGTGCGAGCCTGCGTAGGTCGAGTACATCAAGGACGGCGACGACGCCAAGAGCAAAATAGCCGGGCTTCTTACGCACCTGAACGCGCACCGCCACAACCGTGCGACCACGCTCCTGACGGCGCCGCTCGTGTTACCTTCCGCGTTTATCGTCGACGACAGCTGACAACCAGACAACATGTGTTTGGGTGTACTAACAAGAAGGAACGTTCTTTGCTGCTTCGGACAGAGTGGGAGCGTGACGATGGCGCCACATCCTTGGTCCCTCTGGTCCGTCGCTCGTCATCGCAGTTGCAGCTGGGGATACCCGTATGCGTGCACACGACACTCGGTTTTCAGCCGCCGCAGCTTGGTCTTCTCGCTGCGTGTCTTTTGTCCGCGATAATCAACTCGAAGAAGCGTCTCGATACCTGGGTCGACGGGGCTTCTCGCATCCGCCTTCGCGAACTTGGGACTTGGGATGGCTCGAGGTGCAGGCAGCCTGCACAAACCGTACCACCGTAGTACATACCGCTTTGGATGAATCTTTTGACCCTTTGAAGCATGTGTACGTAACTTCGGAAGGTGGTTGCGTGTGCAGGCCCCAACACACTGAAATGCTGGCGCGTGCCGCACTGCACGCGCCGATGTACTAGTACACTGTAGGTGGCCGTTTGCAGCGTTGAAGAGGATTTGTATGTAGGATAGATAGTTGTTGTTGATTGTACATTATACACATGCAGGAATAATAACTTAGATTTGAGACCACTGTGGCGCGAGCTCTTCGGTTCGGTCGGCCATGGACCGGAGGTGGTTGCAGTGCACGTGGCAAAGGCCGCCGCCGACTTCGTCTTGGAGGCCCATGCGGTTGCAGCCGCTCACCAAGCACACAATGTCTTTGCGGTGAATCTCGCAGTAGCCGCCTCCACGGTCCGTGCGCTGGCAGTCGTCCGTCTTGCAGTGGCGCGACCCGCCGTGCTTTGCGCAGAAAAGGCCCCGCTGCGCACCGTTGTTGCAGTTTTCATACGTGCAGCGGCGACCGCCTCCGTGCTTCCGGCAGAGGCCGTTGCCCTGGGAGCTCTTGCCGCAGCCGTCAAACGTGCAGCGCGCGCCGCCACCGTGGGCCTTGCAGAGACCGTGCGACTGCGCCGACTTGTTGCAGGTCGGGATGTTGCAGCGCTTGCCGCCGCCGTGGGCAATGCAGAGGTTCTTGCCCTGGCTGCCCTTGGTGCAGCCAATGACGCGGCAGCGGCGGACGCCGCCGTGCGTCTTGCAGAAGCCACGGTACGTGATGGACGCATTGCAGTCTTCGCGGAGGCACTTGCCGGGCACTTCGTTGTGCGCCGCGGGCACATTGCTCGTCGTCGACGCCGGTGTCGTCGTCGTCGTCGTTGCTGCTGTGATGGCCGGCGGCGGCGTCGCGTAGCCCGGGAGGACAAGCGCCATCTCGATGGCTTCCGACTTGACGTTGGCAAAGTTGTTGTCGTAATAGCCGTACGAGGTGTTGGTGGTGGCGGCGTCGAGATCGACAAACTGGTTGTGGTAGATGATTTCGGGCGCGGGCTGGTGGTACGGGATCGGGTCAAAGCAGAGCATCGAGTCGACAAAGTCAATGGCGTTCGTCTGCACTTCGTACGACAAGCTGTCGAACGCAAACGCGTCCTTTTGCATAAAGACCGTGTGGTTGTGCATGTTGTTGTTGTGGTGGTGGTGGTTGCTATTGTCGTTCTGAAGCAGGTCCCACATGGGCTCTTGCTTCATGCTGCTGTACTGGCCGGGAAACGGCGCGTCGTGAAAGTAAGCGTCCATGTTCAGCAAATGCGCAAATGAAGCAAAGCGCCAAATGGCATGCTCGCGTCTTGTCTCTGCGTTTGTATGCTATAGAAAGCGCGAGTGTCCGAGTATTGGTTGTGAGTGGCACGAGTTATTTCGAGGCCACTTTGCCCTTTGCGCTTTGTAGCACAAGATCCAGTAGAGCGTGAGTAATCCCAGCCGGTTCAATATCTCATCGCCGTTACTTTTGGCCAATCCACTATGCAATTGGGTGGGATAGAGTCATAAAGCCGAAAATGTACCAACGACGGTGTAGGCTTCACTATTGGATCGTACGACGACGACGATGGCGGTCGACACTGCTCCACATGGATAGACCTCCAATGCGGCGACGACGATCCGCTTTGAGGCGTCCTTTTGGGTGGCGCCCATGTACCGTATTACTAAAATGCAAAGCAAGCACCTAGATGAAGAGGGCATCATCATCCCCATGCACGCCGACCAGCAGCACGGTCGTGCATACTCAAACAGGTTTGCGCCATGCCCTCCATTGGGCTTGGGCTTGGACCAGGCACGGGCGCAAGAGGATCTATTGTAACAAAATAAGATCTTGGTTGCCGACAGGCCCCGCGTGCGCCGCACGAATCAGTACGCGACGGTACGCGGCGCATTGGCGTTGGACCAATGCGTTGGACAGGGTCGTCAACCGTGAATATAGGGAGGAGTGGGCACCCAAGCACCGAGGACATCGTCTTCCTTCTGTGGACAACGACACCCAAGACGCACCACGATCTGAGTCCTCCACGATCGGACATCGTCGCCTCGTGGCACCTGAGAACACCAAATACAATAGGACAAAACACCCACACCTCTTTTCGATCGAGCGCCGCCTCGCATCGACCAGGTCTTGCCACGACAGCGGCGTCGACGACCCAGTCCTTTTCCCGTAGAAAGAGCCACATACAAAGTGCCTGCTGCTTGAAGCGGCTGCCACGTGGCCACGAGCAGATGGCCGCCCGTTTATTCACTTTTCCAGGTCAAGTCCACTTTGCACCTGCCGCGAACGGTCGGTGTCAAAGATACGCGGCCACCGCCACGACGTGCATGGACCCAACAGCGAACTCCGTCGGGAGCACAATAGGACAACGCACGTGTCTGTGTGCTTTGGCTTTGCATGCATCTTGCTGCGAGCGAGGACTTGATGGCGACGCGACTGTCCTACCTCCTGGTCTTTGTGGACACGGACAAAGAGGATGTTGATGATGTCAGTGGTGTCGGTGGTGCACCTCTTGCAAGGTGTAACTGAATGACACGCCGCATCCGACGGTCGCCCTGGCAGCGGACGGTCAAGCGCGGCCGTCGGTTCATGCCCAGCTGGCTCATGCCACTCTATTCAAGATGTGGCTGTCATGCCTACAGTGCAGAAGTGCATGCTCGACAATACGGAGGGACAGCCCATGATGAGTGAGATGTTGATTTGCCGTCGTCCGCCCGTTGTTTTTCGATCAACCGCTGCTACGTCATCCTAAGCGATGCTTATATTACCGTCCTAGCGCTTGTTGATACGTCAACCGCGGGACGGGCCGAGTGGACCTTTCGTGATGAAGCGGCGGATCAAGACCACTTTGATGCAAGATACAATTAGGGTGACACACAGTATGGGCTCGGCTATGCAAGCAGCAGCGACGAGTTATCACGACAGCTGTGGCGAGGAAAGGCTGGTGACGGCCAAGAACGACGACGGAAATGGGTCATCAACGACCTGTAGCGGCACGTTGGTGGTGGCGTCGACAACATCGAGCGTCGGGCAGTAGCCTGCAAACGCCGGGTACGTGATCGACCACGCCGACACATTTGGCGCGACGACCGCCTCGGCCGATACGACGACATCCAAATCCAATAGCTTTTGCAACGCGGCTTGCAGCCCCGTGGACGTGAGGTTGGCGACCAGAGTCGTGTTGGTCGGAGTCGCGATCGCCGTGACCGACACCGTCGTCGCATTACGTGGCAACGACTGGTTGTACCACAACGTTTGGATGCGCGGCGGGACTTGCCAAACGACCGACGACCGATTGTTCGCTGCTCGCGTCGCCGGTGCCACCGAGCACTGCGTCGACGCGTAGCAGACGCTCACGTTGTGGAGGGCCCGCGCCGCCACCGACGACGTAAAGGCGTCTGGCGACGAGCAGTTGCGAATGTAGCCCGAGAGGTCGAGGCCGTCGCCGACGTCGCCGGTCGCAAAGAGGCGCGAGATGGACGGGAAGGCGGCTTGCATGATGCAGTTGGTGATCGCATTGCACGTCGGGTCGGGGAGGCACGTGGCTGTAAACTTGGCCCGCATGGATCTAATTTACACACACGATCCATTACCATGCACAGAGCGACGTCTTGATGTACCGGTCGGTGGCAATAGATTGGGCGCGTGCGAGTAGTTGGCCATCGGCAAGGCGAGGAGACCAATCGACGGGTACTTCATGTTTTGCACCGTGGCTAGCGTCAAATTCGGCAGTGTCGGCGGCAGCGTGATGCCCGGCAGCGGGCTCAAGCTCGTGCTGAAAAAGATGTCGAACGACACGGGCAGCGTCGCGTTCACCGCTAAATCGAGGTTGTACAAGACCGTCACCTGCGAGTCGTTGAGGTTGCAGTTCTGAATCGTTCTCGCGATCGCGCTCGGGAGCTGCGACGCGGTCAAGGACACGACGCACGGCGCCAGGATCGCCGACGGGTCCACGTCACTCTTGTACGGTCGCGTGACGCTGATGTTCAACGGTACCGTGTCCGAGAGCCGATTCATGCGCAGCTGCGTCCACCCGACCGAGTGGCTATGCCACGCGAGCTGCGTCGTTCCGTTCGAGTCTACACACATGCTCACTTTGACAATAGTGTACTCCTCATGGCGACAGTGTACAGAAAGGGCAGGTCCGCGCCAAGAGACACTGCATCGCGCTGGTAAAGAGGGTGCGGCTCGGCGTCGCGGCCGCCGGTGTGAGCATGCACGCTGTGATGTTTGGCGTCACATCCAACACGCTTCCGATCGTTGCATTGGCGAGGACCGCGCTAGGATTGGGTAGCGACTCTTGAGCGCACGAGAGGAGCGACGAGCAGTTGGCATCGGCGCTGCAGCGTGCGACGAGCGGTGTACAGAGGGCACACGCCTCGGCCTCGGTCGTCGCGTACGTGGCGTTGTTCGGTGCACCTTCGTGGAGGTGCACCAAGAGCGACACCTCGTTGCCGTTGCGAATGTACGCGCGGTAGTCCGTGTACAACGGCGCACGGCTGCTGCTCGTGCTCGTGATCGTCGACGTGGCTTCGTTGGCGCTGAGCATCGCAGCAGAAACGTCGACGCTGATGCTGGCCTTGTCACTAGCGCGCACCAAGTCGAGCTGGATGTGGCTTAAAGGCGACGCGACGGCAGCGCCAAAGAAAGTCCAGACACTGGCGTTCCCCGGCGGCATCCGCGCGCCAAAGCCACTGGCAAAGACCGTGCCGCTGAGCAGACTGGTCGTCTTGATGCGCGAGAGGAAAAAGCTGCTGTTGCCGGCACTGTGGTTCCAGACCACGTGCAAGCACCACGGCGCGGGACACGGACTTGCCGGCGACGACAGCACGGGGGCGAGCGCCGTGTCCGAGACGATGAAATCTGTTAGCACCGACGTGTCGACGACGCCGCCGTCGATCGCGGTCACCACTTGCATCGGCGTCGCATTGATCGCGTCGACACTCACCATGAGGCCGAGGCGGGATGCGTCCGGAAAGCCGCGAACGTCCATGAGGTCGGCGAGGCGCAGAAAGCCGCCGGACGGCAGCGGCTCGCCCTGCAGCAGGAGGTTGGTGATCGTGGCTGGCGGCAGCGACGTCGTATTGAGAGGAATCCCATGCACGACCAGTGTCTCCATCAAGCTAAACTGGGTCGTGTTGCTCATTGCCAGTGGCACAAACCGAGCCGAGGACGAGTTGAGGAGGTCTTGCATGGCCACGCGCATGCGACAGAGCGTCGCGCTGGAAAAGTGGACGCCTTGAAGTCCGTTAGGCGCGAGGTACCGGAGCGTCACGAGGAGAAACGGGGTGTCGCCAAAGATACTGGAGACGGTCGCCGGCGGGTTTAGCGCCAGCCAAGGGGCCGTCGGCCAAGTGCTCACTTGATTGGTCACGATACTCGAAGAGATGTTTACCATGTGGGACGTCAAGTAGCTCCCGACGTCTCCGATCGACGTGAGGAAGGCCACCAACGCGTCGCTCGTCACGTTGCCGTGCCCTGTCGCCGTCACGGCCAGCGCGACTTCGTACGACTGCGTGTCGTTCAGCGCGGCCTCCGGGCCCGCCAAGACGTCAATGGTCTGCAACGCGACATTGACGTTGGAGACGTTGAGACTGCCCATGGTGAAGGGCAGTGCAAAGCCGCGCAGCTGCGTCACAAGCATCGCCTCGTTGGCCTCGATGACCGAAAGCAGCTCGTTCTGCCACGTTAGACTCACATAGGCCACGAGGTTGGTAGACGACGTTTGCGCGACGACGGACGCGAGGGCCACCGAGAGCCACCGCAGCCATGCCATCGGTCACGAATCAAAGTGGAAATATCTTGCGACCTTTCCGAGCTGGCGGCCTGTCTATCCGGACAGAGTCCGGAAAACCGCGACGGCTGCATATCAAGCGACTTGATGCACGTCGAGGGCCACCCACCCGCGAGCAAGTACAAGTGTACGCCGCAGCGCCGATCCAAAGCCACGCTCGACCTTGTCAAGAAGACCAACTCAACCACTTACGACGATGCATGGATTAGCTACAAACATATGGGGAGTTCAATTCAAAAGTCGTTTCCAGGGAGCTGTGAATTAGAACGTCGTCCGATTTTTCCCCTGGGGTTTTGGGGGATTTGAGAGCACCAATGACACCCCCGCATGGCGCGGATATTAACGCTGGAGCATGGAGGAGGGTGGGGGTCGTGGGGACGGTTTTAGGGCTCATTTTGTGAGGGGTTGGTTGGTCTGGTAAATAGAGTGGGACGACGTTCTCATTTCCAACCCATCAAAATACTGTACTTGGACAACGCTCTGATTGAATCACCCACTATCGTTAGAATGGTCTAGCTTACATAACGAACAATAATGTCATTTTCATGTTGGCATTCTTCGGCGCCCATATATCTCGGACCGTACTAGTCGTCCGGCTTGATGGCTGTGCGGATCGAGTCGCTCGCACGCACTGTATAAAGGTACGCAGCTTTTCACGCTCGATCGCGCTATGAGAAAGATATACTAGTATGTCCCACGCAACGGCGTTCGAGCTGTCGACTCCTTACAACCGCCACGTCTATAATTACGAGCGATACGATGCGATGCTCAACGCCGTGGTGCCGCTTGTGCCAACGCGGCCGCCGCCTCGGTCCAGCGGGCGCGCCCAAGCCAAGTCGCTCAGTGGTGCGTCGACACCCGAGGCGGGAGCGCCCGGCGTCCGGCGTGACACGGGCAAGTCGTCCAAGCGCCACACGCTACTGCTGCCGCAGATCTCGACGCCCGACGAAAACAACGCGACGACGACGTTCATTACGCGTACGCACACGACTGTAGAACTTGTGTGGACTCGACTCCTCGCGACTAGATCTGCGGCAAAAGACCGACGCGGAAGAGCTCCGGCCGCCGTCGCCCTTTGAGGACGAGCGCGACGAGGCGACGGCTGTCGACCATGACAACTACTTTGGCCTCGACGCACTCTCTCGCTTTTGGCGTATGTTTCAGCGACAGGAAACCAATGCCCGAACCAAGCGGCCGCGCCCTCGCTCGGCCCGGTGCGCCTGTGGATGCATGTGCGTTGCTGACTCGTTTGCGTAGCACCACGTACCTCCAGCGACTCCAGCAGCTGCACCGATGCCCCGAGCCAATGGGCATCATTCGCAAAAGCGAATTGCCTACAGTGGACTTACAGTACGCCACCAATGTGGTCAAGTTGTCGATAAGCAGAATGTGAATGCTAGCGCGTATGCCATGGGCAGTGAGGCTGCGACCGCCATGGGCGCGAGCTTGGCGCTCGTCCCGAGCATTGAGACGCTCAACTTGGCATCGAATCGGATCTCGGACGCGGCAGCCAGCGACGTGATTGCATCGATGGCAGCGTCGACGACGCTACGAGCGCTTGATTTCGCCGCCAACGACTTGGGGCTGCAAGCCGCCAAGGCCCTCGCGACGCTTCTCGGGTCGACAAAGACCCTCACGTCCATCAACCTCGCGCACAACAAGCTCAACAGCCGCGCGATCGGAGTGCGCTCTCTCGACCAGAATGCGGTGGCCGATCGTCCGTCGTTCGTAGCACTCAAGAAGAGTCCGACCGTGACCCAGCTCAACATTTCCGAGAACGCCTTCTCGACGCCAGGTACGAACGATGATTCGGAGGCAAGACATGGACGCGGACGCATTAGGCATGCTCGCGATCGCCAAGCTTTTGGAAGAAAGCGCCAAGATTGAAGAGCTCTACCTGTCCTGGAATAAAATTCGCGGCATTGGCGCGCAGCGGATCGTCGAGGCCATTGGCTTCCACAACTCGCTGCGCGTGCTCGACTTGTCGTGGAACAGCCTCAACTCGTGCGCGCACCACACCGTCGCCACGGCCCTCGCCACCGCGCTCGCCAACAACAAGGTGCTCGTGCACCTCGATTTAAGCAACAACGGCCTCGACGTCGACGACTGCACGATCCTCTCGAATGCACTCGTCGCCAACCACACAATCCTCGGGTGCGATGGCCTTTCTTAGCCCCGTCTTTGTCTGGTACTAGTGCGAGTGTACTGTATTATATGCTAGGCTCCACATGGTCGGCAACCAAGGCTATGTCGACGCCCGAGGTATCGCACGTCGAGCGTCCGTTTATGATCCAACTGCATATCGACGACATGTAGGGTTTCTGGTGCCGTCGACGGAGCCCATGCACTTGCAGGCCCAGCACAAGGTGTCGAGCATCGCAGAGTACGAACGGTACCAAGGGACCGACGAGAGTGCGTACGAGCACTTTTGGCTCTGCGTCGACCGCCAGTGCTGGCTCTGCGGGCGCTGGTCCGAGTACCGGTTCGTATGGACGCCACCCCACTCGATCGACCCGAAAGCCAAGGTGCAACTCCATCTCTCGATCGACGACTGGGTCGGCGACTCGATGAGCCTTGCTGCGAACGACACGTACCTCCTCTACCGCATGCTTCCGCCGGGCAAAACCCAGTACTTTATCACGGTCTCGACCGACGTTCTTGCCGTACGACGATGCACACCGTTGCGATATATGCATGATGCAAATGCATAGTCGTCGTCGGTGGCGAGCAGTGGTGGCACGCGCACGGTGCGGCAGTTTTACACGATGAAGGACAAGCGAGCCTCCCGCATCCTTCGGCAGCCCGGCGACGACGACATTTTCGGCACCCTTCACGTACTCGATGTGGAGCTTTTTCGATAGCCCTAACCCTCGCGCTAGTACGCCAACTACATCGCCATGTCGCGCTCGGACGACGCCAACCCGTGTCGGGCCACCATGCCCCGACCTGGCTCGAACGTCGTCAAGGCGCTCAAGTGGGACATCAAAAAGTCCGTGTTTGCGTCGCGCGCCAAGGAGAGTCCCAGCAAAGCTTATGTACATAACCATGTCGCACGCTTTGATGGACAGCTGATCGAAGCTAGGTGGACACGGACATGCTGGTCACCAAGGCGTTCCTTGTTGACTTCAAGCACTGCAAGATCGACCGCATCGTTCGTGACGCGCTTCGAAAGAAAGAGCTCGAGACGATCGGCGCCGTCTACTTCCGCGTGATTAGGTAGCAAGGACGCGATAGCAGCTTGTGCTTTGTGGTACAAGATTGTCTTTTTAGCAATTTATACCGCACGTACTGCAACCGCGGCGTCCCGAGCCGGGGCACGGCGATGGACACGATTTCGATCTCGTGGGCCGGGTTTCTCGAGTTTATCAACGACAGCAAGCTCGTCGACGAGAGCTCCGAGCGCTGCAAGATGAGCGACATGGACAACGTCTTCGTCGCTGCCAACCTCGAAGTCACAGACGAAGCCAAGCAGCAAGACAACCCGGATCGGAGCCTCACGCGCTTTGAGTTTCTCGAGTGCATCATCCGCATCGCGATCAACAAGTACGCGACGGGCAAAAGTACGTCGCTGTCCTTGCAAGCAGCACTGTACCTAGACAAACCGACTAGATGCCTTGTGCGAGACGCCGGCGCAGGCGTTCGAGAAGCTCATGCAAGAGCACTTGGTGGCCATGACGCCCCAAGACAGCAACGAGTTTCGAACCAACTACCTCTACACCGAAGCCGTGAGCGACTGCCTCGTCGAGTATGTGGTCATGGTACGCCGCGTAGCTCACATTTCACACCCTATTGACATGTGCCATATAATAGCTCAAGGACCTCTACCAAGACAACAGCGGCAAGTACTGCAAAGTGGGCGATGTCAAGGGCATGGCCATCCAAGAATTCATCGACCTCCTGTACGTACACATGGTGATCGAGCCGAGTGTGGATTCTTGGTTTGTGTAGCGAGCGATTCAATGTGTTTGACGACAAGTTTAAAGTCCGCGATGTCCGCGAACCTTTTTTCGCGTCCAAAATGATGACCCTGGACGAGATGGCGTCCACATCCCAACGGCGCATCATCTACTTTACCGATTTTCTCGAGCTCTTGCTGCGCGTGGCACTGCTGCGGTACCCGCCAGCGTCCGAGTCCGTGCCCGACGCAGTCCACTCGCTCGAGCAACTCTTTGTCGAGCACTTTTGCGCCAAGGACCAGCTCGTCTCGGCCTTTCGAAGCTCGGCCGAGAAGGCGATGGCAGCGCGGCTTCTCACGACGCCACCAGGCTCGGCGCACGACGATCCCAAAGGCGCCTCGCCCCGGTCCCGCGGCTCCCGGCGGACGTCTCGGAAAACGCTGGCCGTGCTCGCCATCATGAGCTCCGACATTGGAGACAGCAAACGACAACCGTCTCGATAAGGCGTCGCATCCCATAGATTCTGCATCTAGTACTTTAGTTGTGTTTGCACGGATGCTCGAGATTAGCATCATTTCGTTAAACGTGCTCCGCGTTGAAGTCCAATGTGCAAAATAGAAACGGTGCTGTCGACGCCTGCATGCGCACGAGTTGCCACCAGCACTTGGGTGTGGGAATGAGCTCGTTGCCAATCCTCGCATTACCGCCGATTAATGGAGAGAGACTGGGTGCGCTAATCGCGTCGAGAGAACAACTGACATGAGAGATTGATACATTGATACCTTAGACCTCCAGATCGACGTTCCGAGGGCCTGTACAGTGTGCAAGCTGCCGGCGCTCCAGGAGCCTAAAGACGAACTCGTGAGCAGTTGTGATGTTTGCACGCACCATGGAGCTGCGTATGGCTCGTGAGATGTTTGAATGCAACGAACAAGGTGCTTGAATCGGAAAGGGAGGAAGTAGGCGCATGGTAGGGTTCCACCGCCCGCGCCCAACGGCACTGGTCCTCGTCGTCACCCCAGCCATCGATCGATGCCACTTGACTGGTGTCCGTCCGCAGAAACAAAGCCCACTGCTGGACCCCAACCCACACGCCATCACAGCAAGATGCGCAAAAGTGGATGGGCCAAGGGAGTTGATATCAAGGTTCGAATGCAAAATGCGACCGCTATGCGAGGCGCGGCGCGAGACCCATAATGTCGTGCAGCTCCGACAAGAGCGCGTCGTACGTCTCTCTTCGGCGCACGACAATCGGGTCGTTCAAGGCATTCCCCGACTGACTCTCAACGTACTTGAGGTGGCGCGCGGCCTGCTCGAGCTCGTAGTCGCCAAGGCGCGCGTTGGCATCTTCCAGCATGCGGTGGAGCTCGTCGACTTGGTGCTTGAGCGCGTCGACCTCGTCACAGGACGATCCGGACGAGAGCGACGACGAGAGAAGCGACGTGCGCGCGCTGTGCACACTAATGTGGTCGTACTTGGTGCAAAAGTCATCTGCAAACGACGCGAGCAGCGTCGCGTGGTCCGAGCGCAGGTCCTCCTCCTCGTCACCTTGGGCATCTTCGTGCACCATCTTGCCAACACGGCGGTTCGCTGATGTCTCGATATTGGATGCCGATGGCGGCACCGGCGTAATCCCTGCAATGGCGAGCTTGATTGACGAAATGCGAGCAACGAGCTCGTCCAGCGGCACGACGCTATGATTTGTCTCATCGATGACTTCCGGGATCGGTCGCATGGCGCGCTGGGACGGGTACAAGTCTTCCAGCATGGCACGCATGGGAAGCCCAAGCGACGCCTTCTTGGTCGTCGGTGGCGGCAGCTGCAGCTGTATGTCCTCTAAGAGGACGATACTCTTGCGGCGCGTCGGTGGGGGTGAGCGAACTGCGTTGGCTTTGCTAATGCACACGTTGCAGAGGCGGACAGGCAGCAGCCCGAGCACGGGCACTTCCAGCGTGTGGTGGTCTGCGCAGGACGCGCAAACAACCTCGCCGCACGACCGGCAGTGATGCTTGCGGCGAAAGTGGAAGGATTGCAGGCAGACAGCACAGAACTTGCGCTGATTGTCGGGCACCCAGAGCGCGCGGTCGGCGATCGGCAGCTGACTCAGTCGGCGCTGCGCGATCAGCGGGCCCAGCGTGTTCAAGCACGCGAAGCGCTGAGCGAGCGCACTTTCCCACTTGTCCATGGGCACATCCCGCGGCGACGACGACGACAGTAGGTACGTCACGTGCACCATCTCGGGCGACGTCGATGACGGCACGATCAGAAACCCGGTGCGTCGCATGCTGTCGCGGCGGTAGCCAAACGTGCTGAGCGACGGCACTTCGCGCGGCCGGTCGATCGAGTGGTAGACGCAGAAGCCACGTGGCGGCCCACCGCTAAGCGGCGTTTGGAGCCCAGCGTACTCGAGGAGGCAGTAGTCGCGCCCAAGCGCGGGCCCGACGTCGTCCTTGAAGGCGGCCCACTTGACGCGAAGCTCGTCGTTGGCGGAATCGCTCGCGACCGAGGCAAGCACGAGGCCATCGATGTACTTCTTGGCATGCACCCGGTGCATCCAACGTCGCGACTCGTCCGTCGTGCTCGGCGCCAAGATGGCGAGGACCTCGGGAACCGTTGCGCGGACGTTGATCGCACCGCGCATGACGAGGCAGGGCGTGCCGCCGCGGGCATCGAGCTCGTCCTGCTCGATGCAGTGCACTTTGCCAATGAGCAAGCCATCGCGGCTCTACGCAAGAGACGCTTGCAAGACGTGCAGAGCGGGCCCATGCTGTTGTACCTCGACGCGCTTCCACGCGTACGTGGCCATGGCATGCTGAAGGTCGTCGAGGGCGTAGCGCGCCAGTTGGCGGTACGCGCTTGCGTCCGCGCTCGAGATGGTCGTCGTCGGGAAGAAGGTCGGCTTGACCGGCACCTCGAGCATCTTGCGCCGATATGTCGGAAGCTATTCTTGCTTCAGTTTCGCGACCGAGATCGATCGGGCACATCATTTTATTGGTTTCTGGTGCATATATAGGATATCACTATGGTGAATTGATTGTCCTGGATTGAATTGAGCCCACCAGCTGGCCAAGTGGCCGCTCAAGATTGCAGCTGACCACAAACAAAACGGCGCCGACGACAGAGTCGCGTAGACAGGGCAACGTTCAGCGAGCACCGGCCAACATGGCGGGCAGCATGGCTAGCTCCAAGCTTTTGGTGGGCAGACCGGTTGGTATTGCGCCATGGCGCAGGCGATGCCCTTCCGCCTGCGACGCCTCCTGGATACTGCGGTGGGCCGCGATGGGCACACTTGTTGAGATGAGATGCACTGAGATCCGTCAAGTCGGTCTTTCGTTGACGGTTGGCCTTGAACGAAGACGCCGCCGATCGCATCCCATCCGGTTCGTATTCGCCGCCATTGTGATGGTCCTTGGGTCCAGCGACGCGTCGATGCGTCGATGCGCCTTTTCATTACCCTGGCGCACCCTCTTCAAAATTGATACTAGAGGCAACGGGTCAGATGACAGCGACGTGATGTGTCAACGGCTATAAGCTGATTACTACTACACTACGAATAGCAGCGAGAGTCGTGCTTATTGCTGTGGCGGACTGCTGGCCTTGCTCGACTTTTGGCGCGACTGGACCTGCTCCAAGTCGAGTTCGCGCCGACGGATCTTTTTTGAGACCCACGGATTCTGGCCCGTTTCGGTGCGCGACGGGTCGCGCCGGACGTCGGGTAAGACGCCGATGGTGCTGGGCGCGGCGATCCATGCATCGGGCGACGACGTGAGCTGCGGAAACCACTCTTTCCGCAGCGCATCCTTGGCCTCGTCGGTCAAGTCGCCACGGAGCGCCGGGAACCAGTCAATGAGTCGCTGGCAAACGAGTGCCGTCGCAACCGAGAGGTTCAAGCTCTCGCTAAACCCGACCTACGTGATTGCACTACGTGCGGATGGGCCGTGACGACGGTGCCTACCGTCGGAAAGTAGATGCGGCGGTCGGCTTCGTGCAGCATTTCTTGGCTCACGCCGTCCGTCTCGCGGCCAATCACGATCGCGACGCCTTCCGGAGGGATCATCAGCGTTGCTTTGTTCTCGGCGGTCAAGGCGACGGCTTCCTTGGAGAGGTCCGTCGCTAGTATCTCGTGGTATGCAATTTTTCCATGCTGTTGGCGGCGGCGTACCCCAAATGTGGCGTCCGTCCCGGCGCAAGGCCGCAATGCAGTCGGCAATGGTGCCAAAGTGCGTCACCGAGAGCCACGTGCCGCAGTTCTTGGAGACCTTCTTGGACCCGACCTTGTGGCGGTTCTTGATCTGCTCGTTGTTGGGATCGATGACATAGATCGTTTGGATGCCAAGCGCTACGTGTGTCGCAGTGAGTCTCTTCTTGCAGCGCGACAACACAATATATAGAGGCACCTTCGGCCGTCCGAACCACCGCTTGGTGGTTGTGCGAGTCGACGCACTGCTCCAAGACAAGCAGCAAGCCATCTACATGGCAGCAACATGCGTCACGTTGGTCACGCCTAGACGAGGGACATCCTCGCACGACGTACGCGTCCGTTGCTGCAGCACTGTCTCGGCACGCTGGAGCCGCAGCGACGCCGCGCCTTCCGTGCTCATGCTCACAGCGTATACGAACCAATGTCCAAATCGATGCCATTGGTTGAAATCCGACCGTTGCACTCGTGCGATTGGCTACTGAAAGGGCAATGTCAGAAAGGCCAACCGTTTCAGCGGTGCGCGGTGCAAGTGGCGCTGTGAGTCGCCCCGAACTCACAGCGCAGACGAGGATAAGTCACGAGTACGTGCGACTCACAGCCTCATATTAGTACCGCCTTACGACACCACGACAACGACGCCCTGGTAAAGACACGCCCAGCGTTGTTGCCAACAGGATGTAGCGCGATCGCCGCCGCATCCACGTGCTCAGGTACTAGTATAGTGCGGGGGACATAGGACCGTGATAGCACTCCCGATGACGAGAGCCATTTGAAAAAACCGTTGCTCGGGCCACGCTCTTGGCCTCGGGTGGATCAGGCACCCCATAGAAACGATGAATGCGCAAAGCGACGACGTTGTCGACGACGCCTGCCCTGTCTACGAGGGTACATGTGGTATATTGAAGTGGGGGCGATCCAGCGTGGATGATAAACGTTGCGTGATCAGAGCGCACCTGCGTCGGCATCTGGTGACTTCTTCCCGCCCTTCTTTGAAGACGCAAGGATGCACGCAAGTCAACAACGCGTGCGCGTTCTCACGCGTGCAGGGAGAAGGGGCATCATCAGCACACGCTTGCATGGGAAACGTTCAGACTCCCACGTAGCACACGAGCTGGTTCCAAGATTCACATGCGCATAAAGTCTTCCGATACAGCCTCGCCAGCGCAACTGCAGCTCGACATACGGACACGAATGGTGGTGCGCATGACAGGCGAGTCGTCACTTCTTATTGCAGCGCCCGTCGGTTGAGTCTTCACAGACGAGCGACTACCTCCATTTCCCTTTTCATAGCGTCGACGACATGAGCAGTCCGTGCACCTTCAACGCTGCCAACGTACAAATCCTCGAGATGGACCTCTCCATGGTGCACGACGGCGCGTTCGTACCAAGCACCTTTGACGCGGCCTTTGTCATGCTCCACGCCACGCACCCGGCAACGTCGTGGATAGCCCTCGACGCAATCAACCTCTCGCCAACGGGCTCCTCCAAGAATGCAGCCACTTCTACAAAGGCAAATGCGCCGCGCAGTGCCTAGTCGATATGTATGCCGTGGATGTAAATTATTTATCATTTTCTTGATTTCAAGTTGCATGTCGTTCAGGTATTTGATAGACGTTGTCATCGTTGTTGTTGAAATGAGTCTATTGAGATATGATTGTTACTACCTGTCAACAACTATAAACTCCGAGAAGTGGTGTGCTGAGCCTCTCAGAATCTATGTCGGGGAAAGAGACGTTGTCATCGTCCTTGTTGTCGTATCAAAACGTCATTGCCGCAAGTCGCTGGCTCGGTCGCGTTGGCCATTTGCTACCGAATACCACGACAACACACACAATTCCTCATGCTTGGATGTTCCACTTCGAAATGTAGTGCTGCTGCTATTTGGCGTCTCTAGTAAAGTCGACTAGTCGAGAAAAGGGTAAAGAAATCCAACTAGGACGAAAAATCAGGCGGGTCATCATTGAACTAGACCACAAAAGCACCTCGGTTCACGGCGTCAAGGGTCCTCGATTGCCATGGGCGGCCAATGTGACGTTGCACGTCTCCAGTCGTCTTTGGATACTGTGCTACTACGTACTAAGATCCACTAAGATTCTCGAGACGCAAAGCGCGGCTGCCACGTACATGACCCGTGACATCAAATAATGCATCTAATGTTAGAGGTTTTTCAACGTTGCAACGGCACGATCGCACTATCCGGCATAATTATCCGGATGCGTCGGCAACCAATTCATTTCACACACAGCGGCGACGGGATGGCACGCGGGGTACGCAGCTAGCCATGGACGTTGCGCCAAGCTCACGCCAATCCTCTTGCGCGTAGGATTTATCCAAGAAGCGCAAGCCCGGCGCACCCACGATCGCCAAGCCCGGCGCGCCGACGATCGCCAAGCCCTGCTCGCTCCCCGAGGCCGAGTACAAGCCGTGCTTTGTGTGTGGACACAAGTTCAACGTCGACTCGCTCATGCGCTGCTTGGTGTGCGCCGGCTTCTTCCACAAGCGCTGCCTCGCCACGATCACCGCCGACGCAATAGGCTGCGCAGCGTGCCAAGACGCCCGGAACGCCGAGGTGGAGCTCCAAGCCGAGCGCAACGACCCCAGCATGTACCCGCCCATCACGGGCGATACGAACAAGCACCTCTTTGAGTTCCGCATGACCATGATGCACAAGTTTATGAGCGCAATCGCGGCCCACAAAGCGCCACCAAAGAAAAAAGTCAAGGTGCCCACCAAGAGATCCGCGACGCCCACGGCGTGTGCAGAGGCCCTCAACCAAACGCCGCCTTTCGATCCGCCAGCGCCAGTGACTCACGACGACTCAATGGCCGACGTCGACATGGTGGCACCCGCCGCGCCGTCGATCGCGATGCCACTGCCTGCGGGACCGACCATGGTAGCGCTGCGAGATGCCAACGTCGAAATTTGTCCAGAACGTGCACCAGCGTCGAGCTCTACGTTGCCAGCAGAGGTGGTTCCGTCGACACCACAACTGCCTGCGCTGACGCTACACGTGGCGCACAGCGAGCCGTTGCCAGCAGCTTTGGAGTCGCCCCGAGCTACGTTGGTATCTGCGGTGGCGTGCAGCGTGAGCCCAGTGTTGAGTACGCTCGTCCTACCCAAGTGCGTGCTTGAACAAACTGCGAGCGCTGTTGCTGCGACACCGCATGCGACAATGCCCTTGCACGACGTCGGAGTGGCTACAGAGGTCGTTCAGGAGACGGGTAGCATCATGCTAAGCGAATGTGTTGTGTAACCTAAGAAGGACCGATATGTACAAATATGAGCCTTACCCTTCGCATCGAGCCGGAAAGCTTGCAAGAAGTCGATAGGTTGGCGGTAGACAGTTTAGTCGTACCACAAGAAGGGTCGGTTCGTGTGCGAGCTCCGTGCCGTTTCAAAGGCAGTACTCAACTCGGCGGCAGGAGGTTTCAGAGCTCAAATAGCCAGGCGCTTAACACATGAGCGCGCTCGCGATCGTGGCCAACCTCATCGTGCCGGGCGCGGGCCTCGCGATCCATTACTTGCCGCAAATTGCAACCTTCTTGGCCGGCATCAACGGGCGCTGCGGCCAGCTCTCTCAAAACCAAGCGCATTTTGGTCGCGTCCGAGATCGCCTCCACGAGATTTTTACGCAGCTCTCGACGATGGAGGCGCGCGGGCAGCTGCCGTCGCCGGTCGTCGTCAAGCGGTTCCGAGAGCTCCTCGAAGACTTTGACACGTACTTGGCGCACTACCTCCGCTGCAACTTTGTGACGCGCCTCCTTACGCAAGACCACGTAGCGACCAAGATTGCTGTCTACCACAACGAAGTCGATAGTCTTCTCAAGCTACTGGACCTCGCCCACATTGCGCAAATGACCGACTGGCGGCTGCAGTACGACGCCGACCAGCGCGAAGAGGTCGCCCGCTGGACCGACCTCGTGGCCACCAACAAATTGGTGCTCGAAGCGTGCAGCGATGCGAGTGCGCAGCGTGAAACGATGCTGCGACTCCTCCACGCGCTCCAGCACGACAAGCACACGCAGAGCAGCAGTAGCTTCCAGGCCAAGCTCGTCAAGCAGGCGTTCCATACACTGCAGCGGCTTTCCAAAGACGTACGGGGCACCTCGTCGGTGCCACTCTGGTTTGTGCCACCCGAAGACGTAGCACTCTCGCCGCAGCCCTTTGCGCGTGGCGCCACGAGCGATGTGTTTCTTGGCGTGTGGCGTCAGCGCACCAAGGTCGTCGTCAAAGTCTATCGCGCCGGCGGCGACGACGTCGAGAACGAACTCCACTTGTGGGCATCGCTTCGACACCCGAATCTGGTGGCGTTTTATGGTGGCTGCCACGTCGGCGCCAAGCCGTTTGCGCTCTGCGAAGAGGCGCCCGGTGGCGCGCTCGACGACTACCTCATGCGCCACGCTGGTACGTCAATCGTGTTCCTTGTATTTATTTCTTCTGTATTTATTTCTTCTTTATTCTTTCAATCCTGCGATCTTTCAATCGTTTAATCTTTCAATCTTTCAGTTTGTTTCAAGGGTGCGATGAACAAATGTGTGTAGGCGCCGTGGACGAGACGCAGCTCTTAGGCTTTTTGCTCGACATTGCGATCGCACTCGAGTACATGCACGGCAACGGTGTCGTGCACGGCGACCTCAAGTGCAACAACGTCCTTCTCACTCTCTCGCCACTGCGAGCGCAGCTCAGCGACTTTGGCTGCGCAGTCCACAACGCCCACCCGCATACTATGCCCACGCGGGTGTCGGCAGCCATTCGGTGGGTCGCGCCGGAATGCCTCGTGCATGCAGCCCCGCCCAGCCGCGCGTCGGATGTCTATGCGCTCGGAATGGTGCTGCTCGAGGCCGTGACACTCGACATCCCCTTTAGCGATGTCGACGACGACGAGATGGTTTGTTACGTATCTAGGACTCGAAATGGAACGAGCGCGTGTCTCCTGGGTAGGTGCGTGGCCGCATTGCCCGAGGCGAGCTCCCCACGCTCGACGAAACCTCCCCGTATGCGGTGCTGGTGCCACGGCTGTGCGCGCTTTCGCCAGACGATCGTCTCGACTTGTCGGCGTTCATCCGCGAATGCGAAGCGCTGCGGGACGGAGCCCCCAAGACAGTATCCTGTCCGCGTCCAGAGCCGAGCTGGCCCACGACCGAGCTGCCACTTCTCTCCACCACGACGGTGCCACTAGCTATAGACGTTGCCCCAGCTGCGACGACGACGTCACTGAAAGAGTACGGCTACGGCATCGCAGCCGACAAGCCTCGCGACATTAAAGCGGCCAAAAAAGCCAAGCACGCGCGACGTGTCTCGACGCGCCGCCTCTCGATCTCCGACGTTGACGCGATTGTCGCGTCGCAGGACGTAGCCTCGCTGCTACAGTGGCTGCAGCGGCCAACAACGTCCGACCTTATCAAGGAAAAACTTCTTACAGCTCTGATGCCACTGGCGCCAGCATCCGTGGCCGAACACGGAGGTCTCGAGCTTGTACTCGCCCTTGCTGCCAAAGGCAGTACACCGACAATCAAGGAGCTCTCGACCGCGCTCCTTGGACTGGTGGTGCACCGCAACGCTGGCCTCGCGGCGACGGTCCGCGCCCAAGGCGGTGTCGCCATCTTGCTCAAAATACTCCGCCAAGGAACGTACGGACAGCGCGCCTTTGCGCTTCGAGCGCTCGCGCACCTTACGTCGATGGACGACGATGCGATTGGTCAAGTCCTCGACGACGCGACGAGCGTCACGACGGTGCTCGACATGCTGCGTGTGGGTGGCGATCGGCAGCGCCAAGATGCCTTGTGCCTCGTAGCCAACTTGTCAGTGCCGCCCGCCCCGACAGCCATGGTGTCGGCCCTCGCTGCGCTCCTCCCATTGGCGGAATCCATGGCCTACGACACCCAGCGGCACCTTTTCGCTGGATTGCCAACCTGGCCGACGCCGCCGACGCCGCCACTTGGGCAACGTGCATCGATAGAGTCGTGGCTTTTGTCGTGACGCAGACGCGGATACATGCCAAGACGCCGGAAATGACGTCGCTTCTCGTCCAGAGTCTCGGACTCCTCGCCTTTGCCAGCGATGCGTACGCCACAAGGATTGCGGATGCCGGTGCGATTCCGCTGCTCTGGAAAGCCTACAGCGCCTGGCCCCACCTCGGCAACGTGGTCCTTCAAACGCTCGCCAACCTCGCAACCACCGACGCCAGTCGTCGCCAAATCGCACGGCACCACAGCATCCAACATACGATCGACGCCGTCTTGGACCCGGTATCGATGACGTCGGCAATGCACTTGCTGCACAACTTGAGCTTGGAGCCGTCGGTCATCGAGTACATGGTCAGTCTCGGCGCTGTGAACGTCACGATGACGGCACTCTTGAAGCACTCTGAGCTCGCGATGCTCGGCGCCAAGCTCCTCGCCCAGCTGTCGATGGCGTCGGCTCGCGATCCGCTTGTGTCGTCGGGCGCGGTCGCCTGGACGCTCGAGCAGTTGCGAACGCAACGGGATGTCGATGTGACGCCGCTATGGATCTGCTTGAGCAACGCCGTGGTTGCTCCATCGTGCCTCGACGCGTGGGTCCGTCTCGGCGGCGCGCCATTGCTGATCAAACGACTGGAAAAAGCCAGCGTCGATCATGTGGCTCCGATCCTTCAGCTCGTACTGCGCGTTGCCACGTCCCTCGAGACAGTGCTCTTGCTCGTGCAACACGACACGGCGCTGTATACGCTCATGAACTTTGTCGAGGCGTCGTCGTCGCCGTTGGAGGTGCAGTTGCTGGCGCTCGGCTGCGTCGCACAAATCACGTACTTTGAGCCAACCGTCTTGCGTGCGGTCAAGGGTAGCGGCCTCGGGATCCTCGCTCCACTGCTCAAAACCTCGCCTCACCAAGCGCTTGCACTACGTATCGTGGACCACATGACGTATTGTCCGACCTTCCATAACCTCCTCACGGTCGAGTTTCCGATCGTCGCGACGCTGCAGAAGCTGACGCGCAACCCGGCGCTGCACCCGACGTGCGACGCGATCTTGACGCGGCTGGATGTCCCACTCGCAAGTTCGCACAAACCCTCGCTGCTGAAAGCATTCACAAGCAAGTGGCGAAAAGCCAAGCCCGCGTCCAACCAAGACTCGGACGACGAGCATCGCTTGGTGCGCGCGCTGCTGCAAGAACGGCCGCGTGGTCCAGCCTTGGACCGTATCTACGATGCCATTGCTATCGATGGCCAGCGTTCCGATGCGTTGATCGATGCAGGACTCCTCGTGCCGCTCGCCCAGCGGCTACATAGCAAGCGCGATCGAAGCCGCGCTCTGGACGTCGTGCGGCGGCTGCTCGACGACGCCTCCGAGGCGCACCAGAAAGCTATCGCGGTCGACATGATTATCAAGCCGCTGATTGCAATGGCGAAGGAGCACGACCGGCCCGATGACCGCGACAATGCGATCCAGCTCGCCCTCGCGTTGGCGACGCTTTGCAACATGCAAACGCAGGTGGTCGACGCGATCTTGCCTCACGACGCACGCAGCAGCATTGCCCATAGTCTCCTAACGCACCCCTCCTAGTCGAGTCAAGCAATTCGTTTTGATACCGTCGCTTTTGTATGCGTCCATGGCAGTCGAGCCAGAAGCATGAAATGCATATTGCGCCCCACACAGCCACTCGTGCGCGAGAGCGGTGTACGCTACAGACTGGAAACCACAAAGTGGCTAGAGCGCAGGTTGCAGCTTTTTTGACGCATCGATGATGGGCCGTGGAAGAACCTAGATGAGCCATGGGACCGCTTCGACGACATGCCTTACCGCCGGACGATGAGTTCCTGCACATTGAAAAGCTTTTGGCCGTCGACGGTCGACACACTTCGAGAACGTGAATCTTAGGAGGTGGAGTCTTTAGTCTGTATAATAGACCCAATGGCATATAAAATCCACGTACCGGTACGCATGGAGCTTGTCTTCGGCGCTTGGTGAATATTCAAGCACTTTTGGGTGTAGACAGGTAGCCGTGCCATCTGCACAAGTATATTACTGTCAAAAAGGGTTGCGCCCACATCATTCCCAAACGTTCGCTGAGTCCCGATGAATACCGCGCCTTTGAAGCCCTCGCATGCCATGCCGAGCCAAAGGTGGCTGGCTCGCCTCGTCGGCGCTGGCCGTGGATCGTCGCCACAGGCAAGACTGAGGTCGTCAGCTCCATGCTAACTGCCTGGTGCCATAGTGATCCTTGCCATTGGCACCGTCGCGCTTACCATCGCGCTGTGCACGCGACCCAAGGCCAGCACCAGAAGTGCCACGGCGATGATTCTTATGATCGGCGACTCCAACACGGAGCTTGCGGCCAACATAAGGACGCAAGGCTTCCAAGCGCTCCTCTCGTCCGACTATAGTCGCTCGGCCGACGTGATTAACCGCGGCGTGAGCGGGTTCACGTCCAGGTACGCTAGCTCCACGCAACTGCGTTCCAAGGGCGAGATTCCAATGCTAGCATTTGGGTTGCGCGCCTCGACCAACTCATCGCCGAGTGGTCGCTGAAGCCGCCGAGCCTCGTCACGATCATGATTGGTACCAACGATGCCGCGCTGCCCAACTCGACGCTGCACGTGCCCATTGACACGTACGCCGCGAACCTCCGCACGCTAGTGCAGCGCCGGAGCGCATCGTTTGTCGGCACCAAGTTCATCCTCTTGACGCAACCTGCCGTCGAGAGCTCAGCGCACTGGAAAGACGTTTTTCAGAACAGCGCCGCGGAAGCGTACGCAAATCGCTGCAAGCAAGTGGGAAGCGATCTTAATGTACCCGTCATCGACCTCTGGACGCCGCTGCAAGGCGTGCCCAGTGTGCTCGACGATGACCTCCACTTGACGATGACGGGCAATGCAATCGTGCACAAGCAATTGCTCGCTTCAATCGAGACGTCGTACCCCGAGCTCGCACCCGCCAAGTTGCCGCGCGCGTATCGTGACATCCCTTGAAGTGACATCCCTTGAAGAGAGCATCCCTTAAAGAGAGCAACCTGATTGGTCTTGTTTCTTGGTTGCTGCGAGAGAAACCCACGGTGACTTTTGATGTCAGACGCTTGAAGTGTCAAAAGGCGGTCAATCGAATCTGCAAAAACCTGCAGAATCAGGCGGCGAGCGCACCCAAATATGACTCCTAGAGCACACGCATCCCGATCAGTATCTAATACACTCCAGATGTGGAGTAATACATGGGCGAACGCAGCCGTTCTTTCCACGCCTCGTCGGTCGCAACCCAGCGTCACGGGGCTTCATTCATGTACATGTTGTAAGCACCAAGAGGCTGCGACGAACGCTGTGCTGAGGCGCGAATGCATCGTGTCGGAACTCGTTGCTGGCATCAAGAGCGGCGACGTGCTGGGTGAGGCGGTATCATTGGCCCCAGACATGATTGACAACATGGCGGTTGATATACATTTAACTAGCTCCGTAGTTTGGAGGTTTGTTGAAAAATGATCCTGCTCGAGACGACTGACGAGCCCTCTTCAACGTCGATACATCGCTTACGAAGGCTCTGCCAGGCGTGATGGTTGGAGCTACTGACACTAATCCGAATGCCACAAAAGCTCGCACAAGCGAAGTTGAGCTCACATGTGTTGATTCACAGTCACGATCACATACACGTAGGCTCTATGCATGGAGGCTGCCTCGAGGTACCCGCTTCACAGCAATGGATGGATCCAGAGAAATGGAGATTTAGATATGCCATTTAGTGCCCATGAAAAAAAAGTGGCTCAAGTGCAGCGAATCTATACACAACACTAGTAGTCGGGTCGCAACTTGGCGGGTGCGAGCTCCGGGTATGACGCCTCGATCGTAGCGACCAACTGCTTGTGCACATACGCATTGCCCGTCGCACTGAGGTGGAGACCGTCCTCGTGAATGTCGGGCACGCCTTGTAGCGGCGTCCAGAGGTCGATGACGGGCACGTTGAGATCGCTTCCCACTTGTTTGCAGCGCATCGCATACGGCTTGGTGGCGTTGTTGAGGTACATCTCGTTGATGCTTGGGTTGATACCGACGACAGGGGGCGTCAAGAGGATGAACTTGGTGCCACCGAATGACGTGTTGAACCGCTGCACCATGGTGCGCAGGTTGGCGGCGTACGTCTCGATCGGCACGTGCTTGGAGGTGTGGGGGAGGGCTGCGTCATTGGTGCCGAGGAAGATCGTAACGAGGCTTGGCGGTTTGGGTGACCACTCGGCAAGGAGCTGGTCGAGGTGTGCGATCCAGTTGCTAGCATGGCACTCTAAGCTCACTTCATGTGATGTATCCATACCTGGAGGTCCAACCCGACATGCCGCGGTTGATGACGTCGGCGAGTCGACTGTAGTCGTTTGCGAGCAGTGCTTGGAAGCCTTGCTTACCTGGGCTAACTGCATACTGCGTGATCGAGTCGCCGACCATGAGGATGAGGCGTGTGGATTTGCGCGGTATGCCGTTGGCGAAGCTCGACATAGGCGCGGAAGTCGCAGTCCCATTGCCGGAGCCCGACACGGGAACGCTGGCGCTGGGCGTCGCCGTCATCGTCGTCTTGTCTTGTGTGCACAGCGCGACGGTGAGCGCGACGGTGCTGACGGCCAAGACGACTAGAACACGAGGGTTGTGGGTTGGAAGCTAGAGATTTGAGGTGTACCTGTGGCGGCGATCCACGGCCAGCGCCGACGAGGTTTTGTCAAAGCGTCTTGGGCGGGATGGGCTTCAAAGGCAAACATCTATCGCCGGTGGATGCAAGTTGTGAAATGACTCGAGCCATCATCGATTGATGGACGCATAAACTTAGTCGTTGCAAAATCCTGTTGGACCGTAGTACTCAATCGTGGAAAATTGGACAAGGTACCGCAGCTATGAGACTGAGGGAACCCATCGCAGCACGCGGTAATGATCTGGGCACACAACAAGCACTGATGAAATACTTTGACGCAGCGGCCGGCAAAGCGTGACAACGTGATTCTCTTGAGGACAGGGCGGTGACGCTCCTTGACAGGGTACTAGCTTAGCACCAGAGCGGCGAAAGCGACGGACGAGTCGACGTCGGGCTGCAACTCGGAGGACCTCCTCCCGCTTATTACTCCACGCAAATTTCGCGGCGAATGCATATGTTGGTATATAAGCCAGGAGTAATACATGAGTGGCTGAGGTGTGGCTTGTCATTTGCACTTGATTGGTCACTCTGCCGGGACATGGACAACTGAACAGGACAAGAGGACCCATATGTTTGTTGCATCCACCAATCCTATTGCCCTAAACGCATAATCAACGGATCCCTCGCTACTTAAATCGAACAGCAAGCGATGCCTCGCAGTGTCGTATATTGCATCTCGCCCTCTGGATCCAATTGACAAAGAAAACTGGCACGAGCAACTGCCAACGCACTCAGTCGCGTTTTCGGTCCGCGAGATGTATGCCTTGGTCGGACGATTGCACTAGACCAGGAGTAATAGGTGGGCGAATCGAAATGGTGTTGTAGTGCGACGACACGGTCTCCCGCAGCTGACTCGCCCGCAGTCTCCCACAGTCGCACCAACTAAAAGATTGAGAAAGCCGGGCACCCATCGATCACTCCGTGCTGCATGCGATCCCGTCAATACAGCTAATACGCGTGGACCAAAGCGATTCCCACAGAGGTCTGGCGCATCGCTGTCCCTACTAGCCCCGCTGATATGTACTAACTACATTGTTATTGCCATGATTACCCATCGCTGTCAACCCAGCACCCGTGTGGCGCATTGCGTCGTCTGGTGCGCTCAACTGGCATCGTCCACTCCTTGGATTCATGTCCGCTTGTTCACTCTCATTTTGTGTCGACTTCGGGCATGAAACCCGCCTACGGATAATCGTTATCCGGTCAAATGGAACAAGAGAGAACGCGAGGATGCTCCAGAGTTTCAAACCAAGCGGTTCGTGCATGTATGTAACATGACGTCTGTGCCGGTCGAGGCAATGACGAGAATCGTTCGAGCGCGCTCAACGTAGACGGTGGCAAAGCCGGGCGACAGCAGCAGAGATGATGCGACGCAGTTGCGAGCTCCGTCGCAAGCGAGAGAAGTGGCGATTTGAATGACGCAGTTGCTCGACCAAGCAGCGTCGGCAGTGCAAACTGTACAGAGTGCAACCTGCTGCGTCATCCAGGACGAGCCCGGTGCTCTGCGGGTGCGCTCGCAGGCACCTATCGGCAACGCTCACATCTCACTCGACAACGTACAACGCCACGCAGCTTGCCATAGCGTGTGTGCTTGGTGCCCGAAGCGTTAGAAGCTGACCACAATGTCTGCGATTACTCGGTGACGACCTCAAATCCAATTGCCCAACGCGGCATATTCGCAGCAGCTGCATATACTGATCCGCGACCGCCAACACCGCGACGAGACACGTAGCCTCGTGCGCGTGTAGACAAGGTAGCAGAAGATCAGCTACGCACAGAGGACGTCGATGCTGGCGCTCGAATCGGAGTTTGCTGCTGCGGCCGTGTTGGTCCTCTCAAAAGCCACCTGGAGCGTATCTCGTCGTTCTGGCGTCTCATTTTGCTAGGGAATAGTCCCTTGTCATGTTGCTACTGCAGTTGCCAGAGTTTTGCGTCGACTCACATATACAGTACTGTACGTACGAGCGTATCCCGCAACGAGTCGGTGCGATTGCCGGGGTGGTGGAAGCAACCTCGGCGTCCATGTCGACTGTGTCGCCATTCTAGCGTCCTGCGAGATGGCGCTTTCTGCGGGCGCTGGTTGTCCTGCCCACTGAGCTCGGAGCACTGACCTTGTTAGACGAGAGCAACTACAGTCGATTGAAGCTAGCGATTAATGCTCAAGTGACGCTACAACTTGGCCTCGTCGTTTTCATCAATGTCTGGCGCATGGACCGCTCGTCACAGAAGGAGCTTCCACTGCGCAGTCAGTAGAGCACCGTCATGGGTACTTTGAGAGGTGTCAGCGACAAGGGACTCGTGTCGAACCCGTGTCCATGGAAGCAAAGCCGCAGCACAACGTTGCCTTCAAGCATACGCACGAGACGCCCGGTGGCGTCACGCAGGTCATGTGTCCGATGCTGACGCCCGAAATGATGCGGCCCTCTCCGTACCCTTTGAGCCGTCTTGGCTCGTCGGACGTCGCTGCACGGGTGGCCCACCATCCAAGCACGGCCTTGGAAGACGATGGTAGGATGTCAATGACGTGGCGCGCTCTGGTCGCGTCGATGACGAATCGGGCGTCGCGTACTCCAGCCATCCAATCGCCGTGCGCAATTGCGCGTCCGTGGGTACAACATATGCGCCCTCGGTCCTATATGTCGACGATGATTATGCAAGAAATCCTGTCGGTAAAAACGCAGAAATTCCGACAATTCCCAAGGTTTTCGAGGTTTGCCAACCTGTCCTCTGCCGCGCTGTTAGTGTGTTGTGCTGCCGCGCATCGACGCGCGAACAACCCGGAACATACCAGTATCCAGCGAGGCTCATCGCCCAGAATTCGGCGACATCGCTCCTGCGTGTGACATCCATATACCTCTCTTTCTCAATATTCTGTGGTACAACATCTCTGGGTCCGACAGTTGTGTTATCATTTTCCTCTGAAATATAGTATACTCTAAGACAGGATATCATGTCTATTTGGGGCGCTTGGTCTGCCGTCCCCAGCTGGAGTGACGATCCATACAAAGTCCAAGTGAACACCAAGGTTGAAAAATTATTTTGGAATTTGCCATGTTCAAGTTCTGCCCCGAGTGCGGCGTCAAGTCGACTGCCGCGGGCTCCAAGTTCTGCTCCGAGTGCGGCTTCCGGTACGAGGCGCCCGGCGGGCTGCCGCCGGCGGCGCCGGCCAAAATGCTCGACAGCAGCTTCCAGCCGCCGCCGCCGCCGCCCATGGCCATGCCCGTCTACAGCGACATCCCGCAGGCGCGTGTGGTCAGCATCGTCGTGCCCGCGGCTGCGACCGGCGCCGAGGCCCAAGCGCTCTACGGCCAGTGCCTGGACACGATCCGCAGTGCGAAGGGCGGCAACAACGAGGCCGGCGTCCGCGCCTTCAAGGACAACTGCCGCGCGTACGGTCTCGGCGAGATGAACGCACCTGCGTTCCATAGCTCGCTCGTGAACGAACTCGGCGGCTCCACGACGTCGGCGTTTCTGCCGCAGCTCG